AAGGTTAAGTTTTTAAAGTTATATCTAACGTTCATGCAACATTAAAGTAGTATCATCAACCTACCCACCATTAGTGCGCCACTGGTTGTAGCAACATAAATTGCAACAAGATAACGACTACTCAAAGTTATCCGAACAGGTTATCCTCAGTTGACATATTTCACAAAAAAAAACGATTCGGATTTGCAAAGAGTTTTTCGGAGAAACTTGGAACCATCACGATCATCATTGGCCGTGGGGTGACCTTAGGCTTAGATACACCATGTCGAAATAACCTTTGTTGTGCAACAATAGCGTCCGCGGCAGGGAAATTGTTGACGGGAAATTTGTAGATAAAATGATGTATTGAAAACGTTGATAGCCCAAGTCATGAGGAGTTCTCGATAAACTGGAATACGAGAATATCGGTCAGAGACCGAAGACTTATCGATCAAAAGTTAGGGGATCCTCCAAAACAGCGCTCTTACTCTATAGTGACACCTTGTGTCCCATCACTAATTAACTAATAACTCGCTAATTATACTACATAATTCATCCAAAATCAATAGGCTTCTGGTACGACATATGATGAATGCACATTCAAAATCTGAAGCAGATTCAATCTCGCTTTCGTGAGATATCGCGTGCATCTAACAGACAAACAAACAGAGACAGACAAATACCTATCAACATACTTACCGATTAAAACGATAAGTAATAATACTAGAATTCTGTTGGAAACCGAAGACTTATCGATCGAAGGTTAGGGGATCCCCAAAAACAGTGGTTTTACTCCATAGTGACACCGTGTGTCCCATCACTAATTAATTAATAACTCGCTAATTATACGACATAATTCATCCAATAGGCTTCTGATCCGAGCTAAGATGAATGCACATGCAAAATTTGGAGCAGATTGAACTTCGCTTTCGTGAGATATCGCGTGCATCTAACACACAGACATACAGACAGACAAATACCTATCAACATACTTACCGATCAAGATCGATAAGTAATAAGATTGGAAGTTCCAACAAAACTTGTATCGGTGCGAAACTGCTCATAGTTAAGCTAAACTTGAAAGTTCGAATATCTGCGGTGCAATATAGTATTACATATAAGTAAAAGCTTTGGTAATGAATCTCCATGGCGTAAAATTATTTTAGAGGAACTTTGTCGAACCCCTGAAACAGCTCCACTGAACCCCAGCGGTTAAGAAACACTGCATTAAATTAGTTTCTTTTGTATAAGAAATCCCTGTACCTAGTACCTGGTGTGATGTCAAACGTCATTTGTTCATTCTTCGTTATTGTTTGCTGGGTGAATGAGGGAGTTATATCATATTCTACACCTTATAGCGTGTTATCTGCCCAATTTGAGATAACTTAACTTAAAATTCAATAAATTACCCTCTTTTCTTTAGAAAAGCTATTTAAATACACTTTGGGTAACCTTATTAAATGTAGAGAGAAAATTGATATTTCACCAAAACAGTGTGATATAGTCAATGCATGCAAGAGCTGTCTAACGAGCAGCTAAATGGAATCAAATCCCGTCAACCATACTTGGAAAAAATTGTTTGACAGCGAGCGGGATCTTCACAGTACGAAAATAAGACAGTACTCCCGTAGTGAACCGTGAACCAAGATGGCGGACACCGGGACGTAGTATGTGTACCGGGTTACGGTAACCCTATCGCAGGTAACCATAACCTGGTATACTAACCTGGTCGATCGACCAATATTGTTATAAACAGATGTGAAAAGAGTTGAAAAGCCATTCCAATATCTATAAAGTCGGTTTCATAAGGCACTTTTCGTAGTTCATAAACAACTGGATTTCTAGTTAACCGTTGTGAAAATCCACATCATGTCGTCTCCAGTTATTAACTGAAGGAAAATAATTTTATCTGCTCTCCCATTCCATACCTTAACATACAGAGCAATCTCATTTATTCGTATTTCTTTTTAATTCAAAATGAAGAATATTGCACATGGAATTGTTTAAACGCGAGTTAAAGAAGAACGAAAAATATTTAAGGAAGAGAAAATAAAAATATAAACGAACGAAACAAATCAAAATATAGCAAGACTCGAAAAATTATTCGTGCATCGAGCCTACAGGGCCGTCATAGCACGTCAAAATATTCAAAGAACTGTCTTTGGCGAATAAAAGGCAAAACTAAACTACTAATCGGGTCGTATTTATGGCAATGATAGTGGTTATAGTATCAGAATTTTTGATCGCCATACACATTACAAAAATTGTTTTTTCAAAATACCAGTAGATATTTTAACTAGTGATACACACCTTCAAGGATAAGCAATTATCGATAAGCAAGAGGATACTATGAGTACTGATTGTAGTAACTGCTTCGTTTAGCAATATATAACATAGTGGGTGAGAAGGCAGACATAAGCTAGAAAAAGATACATGGTATGGATTGATTTTTGCAAGTAAACCAACGTGAAAATTATCAACAAGTCGAAACTTCGTAAAAATTTCGTTCTGAATTTCTTTCTCGTCGTAAATCATTGAAACATAATTTGTTGGAACAATAGAATATTCAAGTATCAAAATTTAAATACTTCAATCAGCTTCATTTTAGTAACCTTAAAACACATTATTTGCCACTTATATTAAAGATAGCTTCAATAATATTAAGTCAAATACTGCTGGTTTAGTAATAATACTTATTTCAGGGAAAGCTTCTAATACTAACAAAGAATATATGGCAAGATTGGAAGGTACAATTAAAGTTTGAGAAACTATTTATAATAGTAAACACATAAGCAACTGGTAGGAATAGATAGAGTTGATGTTCTCGTTTTTTTAATAGATTTAACAGATTTCTATTTATATACTGTATTCAGTGGCGCAACCAGCGGGGGGGTTACGGGGGTCGTGTCCCCCCCGTTTGAATTTCGTTTTTTTTTATTATTGTTCTATGTTAAAACAACGTCGTTCCACGGTCATAACAATCCGGTGAAAACTACTTTTTTCCAGTGCTTTATCACCTCGACGTAATTTAACACCGCCCGACTTCAATCATACCTTTTTGCTGATAGTTACGTAATAATCGCTAACCCCGCGTATATGTTTGTATTCGAAAATGAGATATGTTATCTCAAAAAAGTAGAAATCGCGCGCTGTCGATGCGAATTGAAAGCGACAATAGCATAATGCTATCTCTCTCTCTCTTGTGACGAATACTCTCGTGCTTCATCATCTTGACGCAATGTAACGCCGCCCGTCTTCATGTTATAATAATGCAGTAGAAACTCTGAAAATCTGGATACGAAAATTATTTTCGGAAAAATTTTGCTTCGAATAACCTAAGATTTTCTACATATGAAAGGCCGAAAACGCCGTAAACATCCTACCGCCCCCGTCCACGTTCTGATTTAAAAACATTCCACAATTATTTCATTTTTTATCGCAATCGAAAGCAGCCATGTGTGGCACGGCAATAACTAACAGTCGTCGTGAAAGGTTTTCAATAAACTCTGACTTGAAGTGCTTATAAGACGTCGAGGACGTTTTTGGTTGAAAATTTTTTACATTTGTTATCGTATATTTCAATTTAGTCAAATTTTTTAATTTCTTGCAATCTATAAAATAGCTTCTAAATATTATTTGGTTTCTATCGGAGATTTTATCGTTATCCCGAGTCCTGACGTCGTTGATAACAATATCGTTCATTTTAAGTTGGAGGTATTGGTTTATAATCAAAAAATTATAACACATAACATGAAAAATTTAAATCAACGCTGACTCAAAAAGTAAAACACGTTTTTCCATCTTCATTCTCCATTATTGGCGGACGGAAATTTGGGAATCGGGTTTAACTAATTTGATTATGATGACGATGGTAAACAAAAGTACACAAACATACCATACCGTTCTTAGTTTTTAGTCGTTATTTCTCTGTCCTTTCTTCTTTCTATGTGCATATTAAGACCATAAAAAGTGTTTTATTATTGAACTCTGCGCTGATTTGAATATTTCATGTCGGCTGTTATGTATTTTTGTTTGTAAATGAATACCGCTAACTTTAACTGAACTGATGTTGTTATCAATGCCGGATGCCGACGAAATCCGCGATAGATATTAAATACTATTTAAGAGCTATTTTATACGCGCTAAATTAGAAGAAATGAAAAAATTTCCTGTTATGTTCGGTCACTATCGAAACTGAGGATGAAAACAACTAATTAAGACACAATTTGCCGAGGACGCCTAAACCATCTCGACTAAGTTAAAATACCCGATAAGAAAATATTTTCAATCAAAAACGTCCTCGAAGTCTTATAAGTTCTTCAAGTCGGCGTTTATCGAAATTCTTTCATGTCAGCTGTAATATATTGCCGAACCACACATGGACGACGACGCCTAGGATATGTGCGCCATATTTGGGATTATTATAAACACGAAAAAACAGTATTTGAATTTAAATTCGATTTGGACATCCCTGCATTAAATTAGTCAGTTTTTAGTTGTGTTTCCAAAAATTAGTTGTAAATCAATTATTTTAATTGTCATTATGTCTTCCGGTGAGCTTCAGTTTAGTTTAGAATTTTTCCGGGGTTAGGGTCGGGAAAAGGTCCATTCGCAGGAAGTGCATTTTGTTTTTAGTCTTGACGAATTCACCCAACGAGCAAGGCGCGGCACGAGGGAAACACTGGAATTTATTCAAGCCGTGTTTCACTATCCACGAGGCGCAAAGCGAGGAAAACGTTGAAAATAATTAACAGCTTTTCGTTAGCAATTCGCTGGAATGTAATGAACGGCGTTTTGCTACCCACGAGGTGCAAGACATAGCGAAGCGCCGTTAATGAACAAGTGCAAGGTAAGCGAAAGGCTGGGATTTAATCGATGGCGTTTCCCTTTTAACCATGAGCAATTTATCGTGGTCAGCGGGGCGACACCTAGTGGCGTTGCGACTTACGTCGTGGTTGCACCGTGTAAATTCCGGTCGGACCCCCCCCGTTGAAAACGGCCTGGTTGCGCCACTGACTGTATTGTTGTTTATATTCATTGTCCTGATAAACTAAATGTCCTTTACTGGATCCTTTAAAACGTTGGCAAGACGTGTTAGTTGACGGCTCTTTGAATGAAATTATCTTATTTATATGTGATTTGGCAAATTGTCTCTAACGTTTCAGCTTCAAATAAACATAAAGCACTGATTTACAGTCTTCAAAGATAAGTACTTTGATCCTCTGTGTTTTCGTATATTTCTTTATTCTCTTCGGAATTTCCGCCATATCGATTGAAAAATTCCGAATCTTCGAGTAAATTGTCAGGAGAAGCGCATTGAATTTTTATTACAGGAGCTCCGGATGATTCGTCGAGACTACTTAGAGAAGATACGGTGTTAGCCGACGGATGATTTTCCTTTTCGGACTTTGTTCCTGAGCGATTCTCGTGAAAAACATCTTCGTTTGAAATCACAGAGAAATGGATTCCGGACCCTGAATCAGAACCGGTTACATCCGGTACAGACTGGTCTGAAGACAATGAGGTAAAACTGGAGGACTTGGGCAATGAAGACTGATCCCATTTTGATAATCCGTTTCCAATACTTCTTGCATCTAACGAAATAGAGGCTCGAAACGGCTGCCTACGCTCTACATAATCGTAACCTGAATAATCAGGAGATAGTCGCGGAGGCAAAGTAGCAGCTGAAAACGAACGATGAAACGCAGGGTTTGAATCTCTTTCCTGGTAGGTTGAAGGACCCGTTATTTCGACGTAAAATTTTGACCTCGACGTTGGCGTGTCAGGAGTTTGCTGTTTTTGATTCACATCCAGTGATTTTTTATCGACGTAAAACGTAGATGTAGAACGGGTTTTCTTTGGTTTACGCATAGCTCTTCGTGTTGACCAAGTTGTAGGTCGTGTACTGCTGTAGGTCGCGGAATATCTCGGCCATTCGGTGAGTCTACCAGTTGCTGTAATCTCATCAATATCGTTTACTACATCTTCAGATACTTGAGTTCCATGTTTTCTGTCTTGGTGAGGGCTACATGGTGCTGATTTAGAAAGTTTAATATCCTTACTGAGAGTCCTAGCCATGCTGGGTCTCACTACTCTAACTGGTAGAACAACGCCCAATGGAAAATCTGCAGAATGGCACCTTGTTGATCGCTGAATTCCAACGGGATTACCTCCATACGGCATTGTAGCACGCATTTTATTTTGTCTTTTCCCCAAAGATTCTTTACCTTTGCTGCCACTTTCGGTCCCACTTCGGGAGTTCAGGAGTATTACACCGTCAGCCCCAGCAACCTCGCTTCCTTCGCTGTCAGATGATCGCCTAGCTGCGTTGCTCGGAGAGTACGACGAACCTCCAACCAGAGCGACAGAGCCGAACGCTAGTTGGCGATAAAGACTTTTCATTTCAGACGCAACATTGGTAAAAAGTGGGGAGCTTCGTCCAGATTCTGAATCCGCGACAAATGACATGCTGTGATTCTTACGATGTCGATTTTTCTTAGGACGATGTGGAGTTGACTGGTGGCGCCTGAAAAAAAACACGAATTGGGTCAGTCCCGAGTCTAATCTACTAAAAGAAACATCCTTTGGTGCGCATTTTCTTGAAACTTTGTATATTTCTCAGAGGAAAAAGTGCTATGTACGAAGGCTTGTGGTTAGCACGGTATGTCCATTCAAGTCAGAAATTATACACGTTAGGTTATGTTTGATAGAGTCTAATAAAATGGGAAAACAGATACAAAAAAGATTCCAGAATTCTCCAACATGATAACATCACTGTTAGCGTAGTATCTTGCACAGAGCGAAATGGAGAATCCTTTGTGGAAATAGAATAATAATCGAACTCACTTGACTTTATTATTCGGTATTTCAGCTCCTTCCTCAAGTAATACTAACGTAGGTTCATGATCTGAACTACTCATTGCATAGTAAACGTTTGCCGTGTCTGGTATTTCAATTACTAAAAAAGAAAGAGGAAATGATTCCTTGTTTTTGTGATTTTTATTTTAACAATTACGGCACAGAATGACACAAAAAGTACGATATTGGTATTTTCTCTTCTATCCCTGTCATTGTTGATTAATCAGTAGCGTGGTCACCTAAATATAGAAATACTATATCCTTATGCGCAAAAATAACCAGCTAAAATCGCTGTGAAATACAAAATTTCTTGCAACTGTAGTCCTCAAAAAGAAGGATCGGAACTCAGATAGCAAATTAGAACGATCTGCACCTTCTTAATTAGCAAATGCTGAATTTGAATTTCTATAAAACGGCTTTATGTCTTCGCTCAGAACGAGGCTTGGTTCAAGTAACCATCAGAGCAAGACTATAACGAGTTCTAAATCCATTTTCCGGTACATATCAGTCACTGCTTGACCAGAAATTTGTTCGAAGCGAAGTTGAAACACAACATGAAATTTTTGCGCAGTGGTTCAGACAATTTAAATGTGTTTCCCTATCTGACTAACAATCGTGCGAATCAGAAACCAACTGCAAGGGATGTCACAATAGCCAAACTAACACTATATAACCATATATCATCACAGTCTGCTCAAAATAGCGTTTTCAGTTGCTGGGAGATGACTAGAATGTATGAATTAATTACCTCTATCACTGTCCTTTAGCACCTGAACTAGGGAAAATCTTTTTAAATTCGTTTCCACATCCAACATATAAAGTTCTAAGGCTTTACGAATAACAGCAGCTCTTCGTTCATCCGAACTTATCTAAAAATGAAAAAAAAAATGGAAAACTCACGGATATGCAAGTTTTGACAATCTTTAGATGGGTAGGAATGTACCTGTTACGGAGCCCTACACTGTTCTTATAAAAATTGTCAAGAAATTGTCAAAAAATCCACGTTATGGTGCGACTTTTGGCAAAAGATTCGGTAAAACAGGGACTCATTACATAGTTTGAGAAAAATATAAGAATGATTGCCTTTTAGAAGACACTCCAATCATCAACCTGAAAAATGTAATTCTTTTGTTCCGTTACTCTGAGAAAAAAAAGAACCGACCCAATTCAAGTCTAATAAGCGTGGTGCAATATCTAGTTGTGTGTCATTAATACCCTACAACTGAAGTTTAGGACAGATAGGTTGCAGGTAATTTTACTCGTAATCATCGATCTGAATAAAATCAATCAATCAAAATCTCCCTTCATACCGATATTGTTTTATATTCGCAGTTGGCAATTGGTTTGTCTACATTGTTCATGGATTTGCTGTCTGTGGTCGTTTCTGAGAGAACATCGGATTTGTTTCGAACCAAGCGAATTTTGACGATACGGTTCTGAAATAAAAATACAAATTTTATTTATTTACTTTTCTAACTATGTTAACTTCATTTTTCTTTCGGTATAACTGGACTAGGTATGAGACATAAATTGTTCATAAATTCGAGGAATAAAACCTAACTAACACCTATCATTAATACAATTATACAATGGCAGATTTTGGATCTACATTAGTTTGGTCAAAGAATATTTTATTCATAAGAGTGACGTCTTAATATAAAATGACGCCTAACGCAACTACGTGACGTCACAATTTTGATAACAAAGCATAGAGCGCCTGCGTATTACTATTGATAGAAACTAAACTTATTTGCATAAATATTATCACAATTTCGTAATTAGGATAATTTTACTACTGAGCCAATTCTTTAAATATACAAATTAATATTCTATTTGGGCTGTATTGTATTTTCATGTTGAATTCAACAGTTGCGTCGAAAAAGGCCAGAAAATTGCATACAAGTCGATAAGTTTCAATATTTAACAATTATATACAAACCTGTTGACCGGGTGTGCTACTAGAGGAATTGATTCTTCCATTAAAAGACTGCGATACTTTATTATTTTTTTCTCCATTTTCAACTTTTTTTGTCATCATTGATTTATTAATAGGAGTTGACGTTAATATACTACTTCTTTCCGCTTCTCCTTGAATCATCCTGGAAACATCATGAATGTTTGCTCAGAAATGTAAGTTAAGATAGATAATATAATACATATATTAGAATATTAAATGCTGGTTGGAAATGGTACTGGACCATTGAATAACAAATCTTTTACTTACTCAGAAAGGGTTTTCCTATGAGGACTAGTAATTTGCGACGGAGATGTTACACTGGAAGATGAAGGCTCGATTACCATCGATAATTGAAACCTGTAAATTGCGTTAAATATATTTAATGAAACTAGATGAACATCATTCAAGATGGGGATGGAGATAGATATACGTTCTCAAAATATACATTTCCATTGCCTCCTCACCATATTGCCTGCAGGATGGATTTTCAAAACAACTAACACAAGTCATTCCTATGTGACGGAATAAACAGTAAAAGATTGCTTGTTTTCTCCTGTAGGAATATTGAAAAGTAATACAAATATACAAACTTACCTTTGGTCTTCACTAAGCACAGTGATTGATTGGAACCATTTTAAAAATTCGGAAGCAGGATCTAGATTTTGATACGTCCTACAAGATGCTTGCAATAGTTGAAGTTGGGCCAAAAGTTCAAACTCCTTACGTCGTTTCTCAAAATTGATGAGTCCACCCTGAAAAATGAAGCATTCATATTTCTAAAATCGTATTTTATCAAACTAGGATTCTTTCAGTTATTTACAAATATCGTTTATTCATAATTGTTGGGCCCAGCTGAATCAACGTCATGAACTAAAACTCCCAGATTCAAGCGCCATATCCATAACTGAATTTTGTAATAATAAGACGTCGCATAGAAATAATGGATTTTGCTGGTTCAAAGATGGATTTGAGGTCTCAATCTACCTCTATGAAAAATACTTTTCAAATGACGATTGGGATCTTATAACCATTCCCACTCTTAATTAGTTGCGAAAAGATGAGTAGCTGTTTCTTGCGTTGAGCCTTTCTTTAAAAAACACTGTATGTCATTTTTTCATCTGCTTACCTCCAAATAATCTGGTCTTGCAGTATCTAGATAGGTTAAGTCAGTGAGAAAGGATCCAAGATATGGTACAGTTCCATGAACTATGCCAGAATGTAAATCTTGCACACGGCGAATCATTGCTTCTTTACGTACGCTTGATATTGCGCTGTCTTCTGTATTGACTTTCGCTGTGCCGACCTATAAGAAAAAAAAATACAGTTTTTTTTTGTTTTTTTTTATCTTGAAATAAATAATAACAAATAAGTAAATGCAAACTGGAAAGAAGAAAAATAAATATGAATGATTTGAATTCAACCACGGTTAGAAAAATTCTAAAAACTCGAAATATTAAGCCATTGTAAGGCATCATAAAAAAACCTTTCAATTTAGTAAGTTCAGGATCATTATACTGAAAAAAAACATAAAGTGTCAAAAAACTTGAAATGGCAAAACCAGGCACAGTAAGGACATGATGAGTTAACTTGGGATATTTCTACATGATCCCAAACATTATCCAACCTAACAAAAAATCGAAGGAAGCGAGCGAACAATCAAACAACTTCAAAGCCCAAAGTACATAGCCGTAAAGCTAAGTTATTCTCCTGGCACAGGCTAGGTTTATTTCTGCTACATTTGACATCCTCCACACTTACCTTAGTAATCAAGTCCTTCATATTGATATCAGTAAGTTCTTTTAACAAGTTAGTTTGTGATGGAGGAACTCCCATCCACGTTCTTTTTAATCGATGAATGGCGACAGTTTGTAAGCCGGAGACGATCGCTCGGAGAGAAGAAAAATTTTTGAGTTCACGACATTCCTGAAATGATAAAAAAATGTATTGTCAAATAGTAGGATGATATATCGTATATCGATCTAATCAGAAGACTGTATGATTTATTGGACACGAATCTTTTTACTATATTGTTGTTGTTGTTTTTCGTATTGGGGTGGTAGCTTTGTTATTGTTGTTGGGGGGGAAATGCTTTTCTTCGCAAGATCGCAACAATCTATTTTCGCAACAATCTATTTTCAATCTCTCAAGTATACTCAAAAAATAGAAATTTTCACCGATGTGGAGTACGGTGGTGGGATTTGATTTGTTCAGAAAAGCTTTCTCTGTGGATGCCATAAGCTTAATACTTAATTTAATGATATCAAACTATAAACTATTTCTACCTGTGCTACATCGATCCACTTTGAGAGCAATTTTGTCCTTTGCGAAAGTTTTAAACTTGGAGACAAAATTGTGCCAATCACACAGAACACCACCTTGTTGAATTGATCTATAGTTGCCCGAACCGTCTGTGGCCGAGTTTTAGCAAGACAGTGGTGAGGTTGAACGCGATGAAAGAGTTTCTGAAAACGAGGAAATTGTTGACAATGGTTTATTAATTGAAGAGTACTATTACCTGTATTTTATTACTGATATACAATTTTCGATACAAATGAAGGTACACGCAATCTAGATCCAAAATACACATTTTCATTTTCTGAGTGATTCAAGAGTCTTGCTGCACACTAACACAAATATATTTCTGTAACGTTTCGTCTGACTTGGTCTTGAATCACTTAGGATAGTTATCTTTAGTATTGCTACGGCATCCGTGCATTATATGCATATGGATCCACCGACACAAAAGCATAGAAGAAGAATAAGTAGTTAGTCCCGCAGAAACCAATTCATTTTCTGAATTATGACAATACAATGCAATGCTCAATGCGAAGAGGTATCAGTGAAAAATAGGACTCACCGCGGCTATGACAGTGAGTTGTGTTGCAATGTATCTAGGAGTCAGTGGATTCAACAACTGTTTCGCTGCAGAAGAATTAAGAGTTGCAGATTCTGCTTTGACATCAAGTGAAGGATTTTGCGTGCAATCTGGCGACGATGAAGGTCTACTTTTAGCTGTAACAAAAGTGTTAAAAATATTCAATCCTGCTTTGACTCTTTAGTTAAGCATACCATTAAAATTTGTGCCGCTTTGTTTTACTTTTATTAACCCCCTCCCTACCACGTCGTAAAATAAATATACCAACCTGATCCCCGTTTCCGTCTCCCTGCTACCGCTAATTTTGCTGCGACATAGTCTGCAAAGCTGCCAGATCCAAACGCGACGCCATTCTTTCGTGGTGAAATTGGACTAACGGGTCGCCTCCTCTGTGTCGTTTTTGCAATATATACTGCGTCGTTTTCATTCATTACATCATCATGAATTCTCGCAAAATCCATCATTCTTCTGAGAAGTACATTATCGCCATCATCGTAGAAGTCATCAGTGACGTATCGCTCGAGCCAAGCTCGCATTACTCGAACAATGGACCTGTACGAAAACATCGAATTCGACTTATTTTTTATACAAGTTACGGGCGACGACTAAAAATACAGGGAGCTGCTTAAACCAGTGTTTTTCAACCGGGGTGCCGCGGGACACCGGTGTGCCGTAAAATAATGTCAGGGGTGCCGTGGGAAATTCTCCAATTTGTGTGTCTATGCGGTGTAGCGCAGAATGTGGCAGCAGTAGGTGGCGATTTGCCTTTTTTTCCTTGTTTTATTTGATTACTATTCAAGATGTCCAATTCAACATCTTTCTTCAAAGTTAAAAAAGCTTTTATTAACAACATAACACTTAAATTGTGAATATTAGGTCTTTTCCCCACATTTAATGCTGGGGGTGTGCCGCGGGATTTTCTCATTGAAAAAGGTGTGCCTTGGCTCGAAAAAGGTTGAAAAACACTGGCTTAAACTATATACTGTACATATATGATCTATGGTGATATATGTTACGCGCATAAAAATCCCGATGGAACAAGGAAATAGCTAAAATCAGTTATGATATCTGTGTGAAATCTACCAATCGCATTTTCTAATATTGTCACATTATTTGCAACATTTTGTTTTGGTAACAATCTTCATCGGCTACAATAACTCTACATATACTAAAAATCACAAAAATTACCTTAGAATCGGAAAATTTCTGGAGGTTGATTCCGCCCTGATGGACATGTACCTATTAATAGCAAAACAAATTGTTGAAATTACAAGGTTTCTGAATATGGAGGATATAGTACAAAATAGATTTCAAAGTTGTAAGTGCATATATATATATAGATTGTGAGTGAATTCGTGAATACAAAATAAAACCATAGATTATTTTCCCCAAGACCTGATGAATTTGAAACAGAAGCCGTGAAATTGAAAAACTTGCGAATTCCAGCCAGTACAGTAGGCCTACATGCTTGTGAGGACAAATAAACTGACACCAATATATAGTTAATGAATACAGATGCCTTGTCAAAATTGTTTATTTGTCTGAAATTAGTAACTGTTGGACAACACCATCTCTATTACACAAAATAACTTTTGGATGAACACAAACTCTGTTGTGTAAGTTGAAGATAACATTTTTGTTTCAAGTAGAAAATTCAATTAAAAATGTCCAGATTAATTAGCCACATAATTATACAATTACACTCACTCGTCATATAGTTTTGTAAAAAGTTCCTCGGGCGATGAAAACGTTCTATACGTCGTCAGAAATACGTTAAGAAAATTGATATCTTCATTTTCTCCGACATATACTCGAGATAGTTTTCGAACCATGAAATCCAACGTCGCTCCTTTAACTTGACGCGATGTGTTTTTCTCCTTGATGACGTTGACTTCGGAGAACTGTGTAGTTACCATAGTAATATAATTATAATTCTGTAATTAATGCATATACATTCGAGTATAAAATATAATTTTCTGCAATTTAGGATGCAAAAATAAGCAATTTTCATACAAACTGTTACCTAAATTTGAACTTTTACAAACATATGTTAGTTTGAAGTTGAAACACCATTCAAGTCCATTAAAAAAAATTATAAATAAATTTAATTATATCTATTTCTAATACAACAATCAAGCCCCTATGACTACATAATAATAATAAAACACGGCGCTCCAGAAGTGTGTGTACCGATACGGAGGTAAAAAATTTTGTTCGCCTACTTAACATCAAGCTGTGTAATGGGACTGAAACCTATGGGCATATTCACTTGGCTAACACAGACAGTACCCGAACTTGTAATAGAACTAAAATAAGGAAAATCGGAACACACACACTACCGAGGTACCAAAAAAAAACTGTTTCAATATGAGTCGGTATATAAATCTAAAATACATCTAAATTTTTAAAAACTGCCTTCATTCTGTAATTTCTAGTTTTGTACCAATACGAATATACACACAACCCTTTCAACAGCCCTGGTAATACTAAATTATTATAGGACAATCGAATCGATATCAACTACCCGGGGTCGTCAACAAAAATAACACCCTGTCGACTGGTCAACATATTACATCGCACGACCTTACTCCTATTTACTCGGCCTTTTGCGCTAGTAAAGCAGGTAAATAAGGCGGTAGCCACAGACGGGAACTAACGAATGCTATGACACCACGATAGCCCAGTATACAAGAACGAAAATCATTTAAAGTGCATAAACAAGTTTTCGACTTTTTTCTTCCAGCACTTTCTTGAACCGATACAGTTCGTCGGTGGCTATCTTGACGTCATCCTAGTTCATCAGAGCGTACATTTTCGCACGACGAATATATGCTCGATTAGCAGAATCAGGATGTAAATCCCTAAATAGGAAGTAACGGCAGCAGAGCGTAGCCTAGATACACTTCAAATTATATTGATCGGATAAGAAATAACGCTTTCCAGTATATTTCATCGACATAACATACTTGATATAACATACTATGAACTGCCATATATCTTTGTTAGTATTCTCGTTTCAAGATGGTCTTATTTTGGCATCCTGGCCTAAATTTAAACGCACTATGACGTAAACTTAAAATGCTCACACAATTGTGAAAAGTGTTATCGGAAACTCAAATAGGCCACGAGTAAATATTGAAAAAACTTCATTCACTCGGTGGCATGCCAAAATCTCCCTTTTTTCAAATTAATAAAAACCACCATGTGGATGGGTACATACGAAAAATAAGTCTACGATAAAAGATTTTGACCAAAATGCGCCACTTATGCATATCGAGTATCATTCTGCTATCGCAACATCTTCTCATCTGTCTATAGGTTAGCTTAAGGAAAGTTACAAAGTTGGTATTATTTTTCAGAAAAAAAAACGATGCAGAGAAATATGAGGAAATTCCTCAACTTATTCTTATCTAACATATATACGATAAATAGTACCAAATTAATTCAGGAAATGGTAGTGGGGCCATAACAGGATAGCATCGTTTGTCATAGTAATCTTCATATTACATGTTGATTCAACTATTTTCTACGTCTATTATGATTCTTCACTGTTGTCTGGCTCAATGCGTCGGCATTTCATTTCCTCATTATTTACTACGTTGAAGGATACTAGAATAAAAGCCTTTTCGCTGTAATATTCAGCGGCTGTCGGTGAAATAAACTGACACTGATCCTTATCAATTTGACTATTTATATTCAGTTACTCTTGGTATATGCAACGGTATCAAAATAATATTGCTTTGCTCCCATTTGACTACGCAGAGTTGCGAAGTTAACCAGGTTTTTTGCAATAAAACAATTTACATTTTCTTGCTGATGGCAAATAAGTTCATATTGATAATAAATATTTTAATTTATTGCCGAGTGTTGTCTATGGCTATACTCAGCAACATAATTGTGTCTAAGATTGATGATACATATGGTCCGTTTTTATAGAGTTTTTTAAATCTTCACTACGAAACTGGCTGGTAATATCCAACTGATACTTATACTTGAAAGAACTATATTTGAGAGGCCAGTCATTAATCGGGCGGCAAGACACCAGTCAAATACGATTTTATATGAACTTGCCAAAGATTGAGCAAAACTATTTCTCATAAGCTTTCCTCAACTGCCAAATATTTTAGGTACCATTCCCTGAAGTAAATGCTTTATATATTGGCTATAACTCTGAACCGCAGCGCTTCTTTCTCCCACTGATAACTTACGCATTAAAAATATATGCCCGCCGCCACAGAAGCACTCTCGCGTATAACGTCGTACGTCACGGATGAACTGAAGCAAACAAATAATGCGGAAATCAACGTAATTGAGTCGTTAAAATACTGTTTAGCGTACGACATAGGTATCATCGGGTCGCTCCAGAAGTTTGTGTACCAATGCGGAGATAACTAATTTTGTTCGGCTATTTTACATCAAATTGTGTAAAGGGACTGAAACCTATGGGCAGGGGGATATTCACTTGGAACAGACATTCCCTGAACTCGTAATAGAACTAAAATAAGCTAAATTAAATCGGAATAAAATTATGGCCTAACCCTAACCCGGTATACATACTTTGGGAGTACCATCATCGGTATTGGGATGGCGGAACACATTTCCACTCAATTGAGCGTTTTAGCAGGGTTAAAGAATGTATAGAGTGATGTTCGGCGATGAATTTTCAAAGGACAAAAAGCCTTGCGGGAGACGTTGTTCGTTGTTCTCGGCGAAATAAGTTTCATAATTCTACAAATTGCTTATAATATTGACGAGACAATATAAGGATTTTCTAATTTCAAAACTAGAATACACGATCAAACGTCGTCACTACATTGAATCCCAATATACAACGGCATCATTTATCGACTGGAAGATACAGCCGATGATGGATATTACTAGGCTAATTTTTCAATTTCGGATATACGATGCACAGTCAAACGTCTTCATTACATTGAATTCGAGTTTGCAACTCGATCATCGACCGAACCAACACATTAAATAAATAGACTTACATAAACACGTAATAAACAAACAAATGAGCGTCTGAAATTAGTAACGGACGCTGACAGCTTCAATGCACAACTAACAGGCGGCTACAGCCTGTGATGCTAACTACCAGTTATAGTAGAAATTTCTAACTCGGGAAACTATATTGCGTCACGCAAAATTAGACTATTCCCGATATAGCACATCATAGAAACCTAACGTGCTAATTGAATATCTATTCAGTTGTCATGTACTTACACAAGATCGCTTAATATATTCATAAAATAAAAGAGTTGCAAAGCGTATACACAACACTTGTAAATGTCAGTGTGGTTACTTGGCTGTCGCTCGAATTTGCTTGGAGTCAGTACGTCGCACACATACGCGTATGATGACGTCAAAAGTATCGACTTCCGACCTTCATTGTGAATCATAATAGGTATTATGAATTAGTTTTTCTTCTGTAGTAATGTTATCGAATAGTTATTGAGCTTGGAAAAAATACACTAGAGTTCTAAAATTTTCACAAATATGTCTGGTAACCCTTCAAGAACGCCATTATGAGAAACGATAATACCGATCCCTTGTTTGATTTGAACCTCTCACGGAAAGCGCTTCGTCGTGCGTGATATAAACATATAATGTCCTGTAATTGACCTATATTGTTTTTTACGCTTGCCATTATTATTTAGCGCATACTGAGTACATAATATAATCGGAAAATGATTCATAGCACAATATCACCGTGGTTTACGATTTAATGATTTGAATAGAGACCACCAAACACAAATCAACTTATCATATAAATAGAATAATTCGATAAATATGAAAGTAGCTTAGCCTTAAAGGCAATTTTACATTAAAAAAGTGACACATATCATGATTTTGCTCCTAATATCGAAACAACAATTTGTAATAAAACACTGAACCAGATAGAGGAAGAAATCGCATGTCTTACCGATCTCGATGTCGAGTCGCATCTTGGAAGACTTCCATCTTTCTTCACCGTAATTGAATATATGACGTCACCATGGCGTTCTTCTCGCAGCTCAACAACAGTGTCCTGTGAAAAACATAAATTGGTTCGTCACAATGTAAATATACCAAATAATTTGTCAAAGAAAGCAACACAATATAACAGTTTTCAGTGAATATGGGCCCAGATATTTGTGAACCTGATGTTAAATTCGAGTATTGAGTGTCAGATCTCAACATATGATCTGAATTATCATTATTAACATCAAACAGCCTAAGGCTTTGCAATTGTCTAGGAATTTTTTCGTGAGGCTGAAAGTGAGATAATACTGATAACATATAGTTGTTGTTAGTTTCTGTTATTAACTTCTTAAATCTGAGATTTAATTTAATCATATCACATAAAGAATGATTGTATGACAATCATTGTGTAGCACATTCATTTGGCAATATTTCTGCCTTGAACCACAATTTTATAAATATGCAATCATATGCTCCCTACTCCTATATGTAAGTTATTGAATTGTAAACAATGTATACTCTGGCGTTTTCATTCTGTATGCGAAAGACTTGTCTAAAGTAAGGTTACTTTCATCGTGAATTTACTATAATCCGTTTATGATAATAAAAATTGATGGCGAAATCATTTTTATATAAAAAAAATCTTAATTTTAAAATTTATTTATTTTTCATGGGGTTAACAATAGAATTTCGATAGTAAAACGATAATACAATAGTGCTTTGTGGTGCGATCGACAAAACATTGGCCGTTACCACTGCCCGCAGGCTACAATCTAAATACTTGAACTTGTCCGTGATTTATCGCTTGGAAATTAAAAATAAATTAAAGAAAAACATCTACTGAGTTCACAAAATACCCAAATCTTTTTTAGAGACTGAAACGAGGAGTTTTAGCTGGAAATTTCGAAATTAACGAAGCGTACAATAAGTCCCAAGTTTTTTTTTACCGTTAGTAAAATTTTGTCCCTCTAACTGCGGGCATTGGTAAAATGAGCTTACGAGAAATATTTCATTAATAATGTATACTTTGTTGTTGAGGTATTAGCAGAAACCCTTATCCAGATTTTTTGATTTTTATAAATATATATTTATATTCTAACGCTATAACCAAATCCCAATTATCCTAAATGTTCATGTAAACTCGCTGAAAAGTTTGCGTTTGTGAAGTGAAAGTATACTTCAAGTGGGTTTTACCATACAAGGCATACATCATAAAAATGGCTGAAAAATCATGACAAACCTCTATATATGCTGAATATACGAATTGTGAAGTAGCGCTATGTCGCTTTCTCGAAATTCTGCGAAGTCGTTTTGGACTTAGCTGCTTAAATGTAAATTCCCTTTCTAATATAGTCAATTGTCTGGGTTTTGGGGGATTTTCTGGTGGTGGTTCAGCGGGGGCTTTAGCCCAAAGTTTGCTAATATACGCCCTAATCCATTGCGAACAACATTGGTTGTCTTTCTCCTCTTTGGGGTTCGAATTCCATTGTGAACCACATTCTTTATTCTTCGAAGTTAGTGTATTTTCCATGCACGGAGGTTCCGTAACTGCCGGTTTTTCTTCGCGGGGCAAAGTGCCCTTTTCTGACGCAAACACGTCCGAGGTTGTATCGTCGTAACAGGATTTACTGACATCATATCTAGATGATGAAAGCATTTCCCATTCTGTGACGTCATGATCTGCAATACCGATCAAACCATGAAACGACGGACATAGACCATGCTCTGGTGTTCCCGGTAACGTCGGGGAAAAGGTATTCCGTTTTAAAGACAGGGGTAAAAATGTTGGGCGTACAACTCCACTAGCACCGTAAAAACATTCTTCCCCGTCAGAGTTCGTCATATCAACCTCCAGTTTTGTCTTGTAGGAAGTAATATCATCCACATTGGTAAATTCATTCACAAAAACAAGTAATCCAAACTAACATAATCATCGTATATAGCTGCTAAATTTGAACACATTTTATGATCATAGACCATCTCATTATATTTTAATGATAACAATAATTTACTATGTTTTGAGGCGTCTCATTATATTTTAATGATAACAATAATTTACTATGTTTTGAGGCGTAATTTTATGATCTAGTTAACGAATCGCGGTCAGCACCTACGCTGGCGATCTGGTAATAAAATTCAACTCCGTTTTAACATGCTGTGTATTGAGTTGTAACGCAGAATTATAAACATTGACATTACCTGAAACTAAATATGCATGGCGAAATTCTTTGCAAGTCAATTCTCAATGTACTATTTCCAAAGTAGGTCTAATATACAATGCAGAGATAGTCCGGCCGTCACTTGACCTAGTCTACATATTATTCAATTCATGTAATATGAACAATTTGACGTGGGTAACTGACAAGCATTTCTGCATACTAGTTGCATAGCACTTCTAACTATCTTGAAGTGGTCGGGGATTACTTATTTGCAGCCGTGCAGCGAGTGCGGTACCTCCTGTGTGTTTCGCGTCTCCATAGTAAACAAACCATCAGAGGCGATAAGAAAACTATTGATCTCAAAGCACATAGCATCCGTTTTGGGACACGCTTATCATTCATCAAAAATGTCGCATATGGCTGGGTTGATAGGAAGGCTATCCTTAATGCATTGTGGGCTATTTTTGTACACGCAGACCACGCACTAATACTAATTGGTGCAGATACGCATTTCACTTGGAAAAAATGGTATATCTGTTACGTTATTCAAGCTTGCAAATTGATCTACTAGCTAACTACTAATACTTACACCTTACACACCCTCAAACCCGACCCGGTAGGATATTTCACGTGCGGACATGAGATCATATAAGCTAAACTACACGCACTTATTCTCTGAAATTTGCTCGCGTGCCTGCCTCCTGCACCTGGCGCTAAACCATCGTAAAACCGGCTTTTGTTGATTGTCGTGTACAGCTGTAAATATTACCTATCTACGCAATACATTTTTCACATAGAATTTCGACACTATACAGTTTATTTTTAAAAAGTGTGAAGTGCGAGAAATAGGCAATTTAAAAGCATGTAATCGACTAATCACTGTCATGAAGATCAAAAATTTCCCACCCATCAGCATCATCCAAAACAACTATACTAAGCGTTAATTATTTTTTAATACTGCTGTCAACGCCCATGGTGTTACATTACGTCAGTTTGATGACGTAAACATCACATTGTGACAGTATAACACTTTTGGAAATACACACAGGAAAGGCATGCGCGCGACATGCATTAATTATCTCAGCGAGACGGTTCTCCGCATACAGTCTTAGCAGTTGGAATCTTTGGTCTTACTGCGGCACGTGCCAAATAGGCAGGTTTATGGCGCATTTACCGCGAAAATAATAACATATACGGCGTCGTCTTTACGCCGGTAGCCCACTTCACTAACGAGCGACACTTCATAACCGGGTTATTCCCAAACGATAAAGAAGCGAAACTAATTTCTAATTTGACAACAATAGTTGCACTATTCGATAAACAAACTGTAAGCTCACTAGATCTTCGTATTGTGCTGTCCATATGGTAAACAACATGGGTAACATTGCTAGTCTATTTTAGGCGTACTGTTTCTGTATCTAATGATTTGTAATGAATAGTTTGCAATAAAGCAATTTTAAGCTAATTACTTATTTAGGTTATGCGAAGACACTAGCTTAACCCGAATAGTTTTGTTCAATAATAAGGAAATATAATGATCCCTATTGCCAGTTTGGCTTCCTTCGAAAAGATCTGGTGATATGCAATAAAAACTTCTCTTCAAATTAGATCACAGCCCAATTCCCAAGACAGATTATCGAATACTAATAAAAGCCATTCGTTTTGTTTACGCGTACGGTTACAATTGTATTGATACAATTGATATTACGTTGATATATTCCCAAAGGTATGTATTAGTAGTTTGAAGTCATGACCGGGCCTTTGTTTAATGTTATCACGTTTGGCGTTTTTCAGGGCGTAACGATATTTCAAAAAGAATTATTTGTCGATAGTTTCGACAACGATTGAAAAATAATCGAAATGTTTAATCAGATTCTCTGATTTGAGTTTAACTTGTAAGATTGTAAATTGATAAATTACAACGTAACTTTAACATATATATTTTCATATTCACTAATATTTCAGATTCAGGCTTAAAGGCATATCCTAACAAATAAAACATAGCTACATTTATCTACAAAACAAGCGCTAAACAATGCAAATTATAATAAAACCCGAAAATCAAATAAACAGCCATTTTCAATAATACATTAATAAATCTCTGGGACTAAGCAGCTATATTTAAATGAAATAACAACTTCCGCGAACGAAAGTGAAAATTCTTAATCTTAGATAAAGAAATAGAAACAGGTGGAAGTAAACATTTTTTGTTGCTATCTCAGCGATTTTGGGGTTCAGCTTGGTGTAGTGACGATCAGATGATTATTGTTTATAGTTTATCATCTGAAATTTGAAATTTTTTATATCGATTTATATTTTTTCGGATAGTTTGCACTGTGCTTATCAGTAAAATCAAGGGCAATATTTGAAAAATTCATGAGACATATCAGATAAAAGCAGATATCTAGCCATATCACATCCATGCGATTCGATAAAAGAATTCTACCATACTTATTAATCTTGCACACACTCTAGACTTGATATTGTAACACTACGATATGCGGTTTTATTACCTAATAATTATTATTAAAAATTCAATTTAAACTTCCGTCTATTTAAATACTATAACTGATCCTTTCCAAATTCGGTACAGATGAAAAATAACTTCCAAACGAAATCGAATCTACATTACTGCAATCTCGAGAGGAACTCAAAAACACAATTATTCATCACTTATACAATATATTAAAATTATTTATATTCCAGGAAATTCGACTGTCTTTGATACACGCTCAAACCACTAACAATGGCTGCGATATGGAATCAAAACCACTTACTTAGATCGACCCATGCGTGAGCACCTGATAGAGACGTAACGTATCATGTCAGTTTCGCAGTTTTAGATTACATTTATTACAATTCCAATGGGCGTTTTTCATTTTACAGCGTATCGAAAATATTAAAAGTACAATATAACCAATTTATTTATATATAAAAAACAAATAAACATGTTGTTTTGGAACAAATTAAATCGAGCGTTGTCTGTATACTTTGCTTCATTGTCTAGTAATTGTATTCAAATATTAAAACAATCACCGTAAACAAATACAAACTGTTTATTTTGTCGTCCGTACTAATCTGAGACTGGTGGCGCAAAGAAGCAATTTAATGCGTCATACAAAATATTCGTCACACTCCAAGCACCAGGTTCGGTTGTTATTAGCATAATACAAAGCTCCGAAATAGCGTTTCTGAACATATAAACATAAATTTTTCATTCCAATCCCCACAAAAGTTATATGAAAGAAATCTACGAAAAACATGACAAGAAAATCAATCAAATATCCATCGTGAACTAAATGCGTGTGGGTTTGTATAGCCGCAACCTGATCTATTCTCGTATACACATAACATTTTTTTAGAGTTACGGCTCCAATGTTTTTCATTCCCACATTTATCCTAATTTATTTTAGAATGTTACAATTCCTCCAAAATACACTTTCAACATCCGCTTTTTCATCTCCCTCTGGCTGAGACTTCAATTCTGCATGTACGTCATTTGGACTAAAAAAGCCTCACTCGTATTACAAAGTAAGCAATACGGTACGGTACCACTTTGATACAAAGTTGTCTTTCAGAGACGACGCGAGATATTTCTATTGCTTTTAAATATTTTGAGTCATTCGTAATGCTGCAGCAGAAGGGAAACACGTGATTTTCGTTGCCATAGTAACAAAACAGCACGTATGACACCATTTCCGAATTTTGAATCGACTGATACACAATTGAAAAAGTTGTCTAAGAGATCAAAGATAAAATTTTGGTACTCCCGTAGTATGTAAACCAAGATGGCGGACACCGGAACGTAGTACGTGTACCAAGTTAGGGTTAGGCCATAATTTCAGATACAAATACTACGGAAGTCACTTGACTAGTTCCCGAACTCGTAATAGAACTAAAATGAGGATAATTGGAATATAATTATGTAACCTGGTACACATACTACGTTCCATTGTCCGCCATCTTGGTTCACATACTACGGGAGCGCCAAAATTTCTTCCTAAAAATGATCTTGTACCTTGGTATTATTAACTGAATGTTTCTATATCTACAAAATACATTTTCTAATGTATTTTCTAAACTTTATCCTAAATTTTAAATTTAATAATAAACCGTACTAATCATTATGACAGAACACTTACGTCAGAATTCCGCCAAAGAACAACATGACGGGGGTTTCTAAAAATTCCGCTTACGAAAAAAATAGGTTTTATTACAGTTTCACTAAAAACACCCCAAGCACAATATACAAAACCTGTTTGACTACAATAAAAAAAATTGTTACTTTCTCCTATTTTGCAATTGAAAAAACCTAGTGACGCATTGCTGCGAAAAATAACACGAGACAAATCTCAATTCAAACAACCTCGTTTCCCGTTTCATATAATACTATCTTTCCGTTGCTTAGTAACAAAACGAATCACAACATCATGCTTATCGTAAACATCACAGAAATGAAAATTTATTGCTGCGTGGTGACTTTTAACAGTTTACCAGATGATTTTGCGATTCTATTAACTGTTTGTTCGAGAACATGCCGATGCGAACCTATAATGCAAATGTTAAACATTCCAATTTGAAAATTTATAACAGCCATGATCATCTATAATTTGTACTTAACCTTACAAATTTTGGGGACAGTTCAAAATTTTCAGCATCTTCATAAGCATGGTACATATATGCAGTTAGACAAAATTAAATATTTTTGAAGCTTGTCATCTGTAAATTCCTTTTTCTGGTATGCGGAAATTGAAATAGGTCGCATATGCTGCTGATACACCAACAACGCAATTTAATGTCGGAACCAAATATATTACGCACTAGAAATATATTAAGATAAGTAATATTACGAAGTATAAGTAAATCGAACTAAAAAATTGAATTTCTTTATTGCAATTTTTAAAATTTACTTATTTCCAAAATAGATTGTATCGACATTAACGTGGTAGCGAACAAGTTTAATTAACTCAAAGAGTTCAGAGTAAGTTTAATCGACTTACTATATGAGCGAACTAAGTGAAGAGCATACATACCATTAGAAAATTTTAATTTTAGGATATGAGAAAACCTTTTACTAAGATTTGAAGTAATAATATCCGTCCAAATTGGTGCTGCAATTAATTTATAATTTTCAAGAGTGATAATTATTTAGACAAAAATGATTACTATAACTTTTGTTCAATTTGCCCTGAAGATATACGGAAATTTTCTCTTGACACAATGTGACAGAAATCTATTTTCAATTTAAATTAAAAATATTCTTAGGGAAACTTTGAGATTGTGTATTGCATTTTCTTGTGGGAACCATCATGCGTGAGCAAATCAATATTTCCAAATAATCATGACGCAGTGAAATTTCTAAATGTGACGAATTGATATTTTAAAACTTTTTACTTAATTCAATTGCTGACCAAAATTTAGTAGTAGACCAAGTAAAATTTAAATGGCTTGAGGTTTAAACTGTAAAAGCACACAATATTTATCTAGGATTAGCTGATCTTCATTTTGTTTTAAATAATAACTGTGTTTTATTTCGATAATACGTAAACAAGATGGAAACAAATAGGAATATCCATGTATTCTAATCTGAATAAGTCTTATGAATAAACTTCGTTCATCTTGAACAATGTAAAAAGCTATTCTTAGAAATTGCCCATCATCGACAGTATTCTATATTTTGACATATATGCTATAATTCGACTATTCTAGATACTCAACAATTACTTCTCCGAAGATTAATGTGATAATACCGTTAGGTACAACAACATTTTTGTACTTTTCTTTTGATGTTGAAATAATAAATCTGGTTTGTGTCAGATCTCGTATTAAAAAAAATTAACAACTCATAAACAGTAGGTTTTTGATCGTTTATCGACTTCATATAATAGCGAATTTTTTGAAATAAACCTTTCGTCTAAGATTAACTTAATCCTGTTTCTTCTCTTTAGCTGTTATTGTATCATTCAATAAATATTCTTAATATCTTCAATTCAACATTCTTCTATTTACCCAACAACTTTGCTAAGTTTGAATGAGTCGGTGGCCATCACCAGAAAATTCCAAGACCTTTTGTAAACAAATCAGAGGGAAGCAAAACCGCTCTTTCAACAACTTCCTCCGATTGCTGATTAAGTTATATCAAGAAAGTAGAAATCATTTTTTCGCATTGCAAAAGTGAATGACTAATTCTGGCAAAACGGTTTCGAAAACGGGAATTCTGGGCGCCGTGTGGAACGGTGTACATGCGAGATATTTCTACAAAAACTTTCTTATAAAACGGCAGTAAATCAGATGACGTACAGTTGTTTTGATGCTGCAAAACTTCCCGTTTCTAGATAGCACCTACAATGTTCGTTCGGTACACTCGTAGTATATGCACCAGGTTTGGATTAGGCCATAACTTTATTCCGATTTTCCTTATTTTAGTTCTATTATAAGCTCGGGGACTGTCTGTGTTGGCTAAGTGTATACTATACCTCTGTCCATATCAGGTGTCAGTCGCTTTATACAACTTGGTGTAAAGTAGGGAAACAAAATTAGTTACCTCCTTATTGGTACGCATACTTCTAAAGCGCCCAATGTTAAATGCAAAACCTAATTATCCTAGTTTAAAACTACGACTTGACTAATTTGTAAATGCAGGACATACGGGACCGAACTCCGTGACACAGTTTATGCTGTGCTTGCAGTGTGAATAATGAACTTGCGCTTATCGTAGTTGGAGGGAGTCACGACTTCAAGATAGACTTTGCCTGTATCCATATGTCTAAAGTGCTTGCTTGCACCTATTGTATATGACGCTCACAAATTCAATTTGACTTCTGCGTCATATTTTCCTATAAATTGTAAAATCTGCAGATCTTGACGCAGATACTGATAATGCCATTTACATGCAAATTTTGCTTCGGGTACAAAGTCAATTTAGACGAAGCTCATGACTTTAGCATCATCAGAATGCAATACGAATTGCAAAACCATGTTCCCAAATATGAAATACTAATAGTGAAATTGTAAATTTCAGGCGAAAGGGGACTTGACTTATCGTAATTTCATATACATTCTCGTATGTGAGACTTGCTGCCGTGGAATTAATCAGACTCATGGGGGATGCATGGTATGTTTGAGGACTTAAGCAGATTGCAGAAATAACACTTAAATGTACGGAAAGCAATACGAGAGAATTCTGCAAAATTCCAATTCTCTCATATGGTGTAAACTAAGCCAAATATGAACTTTAACTTTACTGAGCAAGTCATGACAGTTCCTGGTACTGCAATCTCGAATTAGTTCCTGAATCTGACAATATTACGATGATCCCTGATGCTATCGAGTTTTGCTGACCCATTTGAAAGCGATGGCAATGTATTATATGAGAAACTTGCGGAAATTGAAAATGAAGTCGATTTAATTATAGTAATGAATCAATGAGGTGTAGTTTGTCAACACATGTGTTTTTGGAATCGTATGACTCACCAAATACGTACTTAGAACATGAAAGGAACTCGGGTACCAACTACCAACACAACCTACACTCATTACCATACGCAAAATATTACGGTAATATGCTCCGTCTCTACATTGCACAGAATGTCATCACGAATGCCTAAAAATATGCCGGTACAAAAACGATGCCGACATCGAATTAATTAATCATTTTCCATTCGTGTTCTTGTTAGATGATGATGATATTCTCAAAATTATTAATGATATTATTGATTATAAATTTAAAGGCCGTATTGATGATATCCAGAAGGTTGTACTGTATACTGTAATTTAGTTTACCATGAAACGAGTTGAAATTTGAGATCTCTCTTGCTATACATTACAAAATTCTGTTGTATGTTTTTCATGGTCATTCTAAAAAGTGGACAATCTCACTTGTATTACATTTTATGTGAAATGTCGGAACACTTTGGAGAAAACACTCAAATCTCGTCGAAGAATAAAAAATTCTAAATAGAAAGAAGATTTGGTCGTTTTTTGGCGCCAATAATTTATAGCGGACTATAATTTATCAATAACTTTTTTCATAAATTGTACTGAAAGTATCTCACAATACAAATCGCCGTTGGTAAACGAGTAACGAAATTATAAAGCCGCTAGGGGAAAAGATTGAAAATTCCGGTCGCGTCCTGGCAAATTGAAAGTTGTAGGTTTAAATGAAATGAATATTATAAATTCTATTTATGCAAATTTCCAACACTGGATTCTAACTGATAAACATCGTACAACTTATAAATACTGTTCAGACATAACATAAAATCTCAGACATGATATCTTCAAACGTTGCCTGACTCATTGTGTAGATGAAATATCACAAACGGTCAACAGCTGACACTATTACTAAGAGCTCAGGTCTCAAAACTGTTTCATCTAACGGAATCTATACGCGAAATTATACATAATATGCGGTATCAAAACAAGGCAAGCCTTTGATAATTTCTGCTCAAAATTAATATCTACGAGGCAACGACTAAAATCTATTCACGATTAAACTAATTATATAGTCCAAATGTTCTAGATTCAGCAGTCGGTCCTAATCAATGGCTTACGCGTTTCTGAGATAGATTTTAATATAAAAGTTTATAAATTACGTCACAAAACACGACACGCCTTGGATTGAACGATTTGAAAACACCACGTGACCTACTATGCCATGAACTGCCAGATAATAATGACTTTCTGCGATATATAATACTTGTGATTATTATACCTTGAATCAAAATACGTCCAATTGAGAACGTTAATTGGCCTAAAGTCAGTGATGCTAACATTGTTTCCATACACCGTCACACTATGATCTGCGGGATGCTACTTTTTCTAATTGCTGTTTGTAACAAAGATTAGTCTGCATGTGCGGAAGTACTTTCTTTTGTCGGGTGTGGATATCATTGTCTGGGATAGCGCAAGGCGCAAAAATAAATAATTCTCTTATCTCAAGTTCGGAGCATCGTTTCCGTAAAAAGGAGTTCAATCAATTCCGAACGAGTTGCCGAATTGCATCAACGGGTGGTCTAAAGGCCGTCGTTAAGTGACAAATTGAAAACGACCTAGATTTGAAGGTGCAAACTACAAATTCGTTAACCAACATTTTTAGCATTTGAGCTATCGTTGTGATTCCTTTGTTAGCATGCCTTGAGGTAGGTATATATAAGATAGGGAGTTTTTCCGCGTGTTGTCTCCCCACTTGTGTTTGTGGTTATAATTGCTTTAATTGATTCCACGGGAAGTAAAAACGCACTAATTGTCGTGTGCCACGTTTTGTCTTGGACCGATGTATTCGGGTTACGTTTTTGTGTGGATCACATCTGTTTCTGGTTATTGTTTATGTCTGTTAAGTAGCCGTAAGGTGATTTATGCTGTTTTTATAATATAGCCGCAATAGGGACTGAGATATTCTGATTTTGACGTAGCAGATCGCCCTTCAAAGATGAAGAGAGAAAAACCTGCGACTGGTAAAGTTGGAGATGAATATGTCGTCCCAATCGCCTTTGAATTGGCCTACCCCATAGAAGGCACAATGGGCTGCAATTGGACAGCAGGTTAACAAAAGGTGCGTTGTGATAGGTCGATGGCAAACTTGGTTCTCATGGCATGGCTCTTCATATTTGCGTGACCCCAACATAACCTCTACCACGACCTAAATTTGTTCGCGATTTTGCAAGATTTAAGTCTGTAATTCCCCAAAATCGTGATCCGTGTTTTGGTCAATCGTCTGGAAACATCACGACCTATCATTTTTGAAAGTCAAGATCTGAAGCAAATAGACTTTTAAGAAAAATACCAATTTGATACTATGATGCGAAAACTGATCTTGATGGTGTAGTGATTCAAATCAGCAAAATTATCATTCTGTTATTTTAGAATATTTTACACTAAAAATATTAGCATGCCAAGAAATTATAGATATACAGTTTTCGCCCACGTTTTAATTCACGAGACTACGACCTCGTTGAGTTCAAAACTTCCTCTAGGTTGTGCGAGTTCATTACTTCTGTATAGAAACTGGTTCGTTTACATAATATGTTCCCCATATATTGCTTCGGGCGTGCCGTCTGCTACGTGAAAAATGATTTCGACAATTAGCGTACGCATGTGACGTGGGTTTCTACGCAAGTGCGTAATACACGATCAACGTGAGCGTATATCTAGTAAACGTGACGCAATCTATCAGTTCCAATTTCTCAATGAAGTGAGGAACAACAAGCTAGATGCCAGAACCCACAATTTGACTCGTACGTGAGAATTATGTGTTCGCTTACTTTGTAAAACTTGAATAATGCCTTTAATACTTATTGTGCATTTGTATTCAATTATAAGGAGACTGCAACAGTAGTATAATACCAGCTGTATAGTTATTAGAATAGAAAATAGTTACGGAAAATTTGATGTACAATTTACTCTGCACTGCCATTGAAATTCAAGCGCGTAAAATTTTAAAGTACCAAAATGAAACTAACCTAACTTATTGTTGGGTCAGCTTTAGTTTCGCGGTATATATTTAGCAGTTGAAAGCAAGAATTAGAATGACGCAAGGACGCACGCCACGGTTTGTGACTTTGTGCTCGACGCACGCAACTGACGCTGACTGACTACAAAGACGCAATATCTATTAATAATGTTCAATCACTCGGAATGTATAGACGCAAACATATCTTGAATTATAACTGCTCTTCCACAATCGTGTTTGGATCTGAGTTATGCAGCACTCTATCCGAAGAAGACATTCAATTAATTAAGCTTTAAAATATGACATGTTAAAACGTTATTTTAAATGATGAGTTTGAATTCTGCTCTGTCATTGTATGATTATGACACATACTATAGTAAAACCTGTTACTGATGTGTAATATTAAAATTGAACTTTAATCTATTTTAAATTCTACTGATCCACCGAGTACTCTAATGTGTCTTATCTCTGATGTAACCTGATATAAATTTATATTTACCACAATTGTATCAGATATTTCATCCGGTAACAAAATTCTGACCTATTGTACTTCGTGACTTGAAATTTGAAGCAAATCAATCTGCTATTGTATATCTCACACCTGAGGGGTTGACCATGAAAAATCAAGTTGGTGTTAGACGTTCATGCAATATTCAAACTTGGACTTGTCATTGCATGAATATTTAATATTTCTACGTCATGTACGAAAAGATATAAATTATGCATCAACGTGAAACGTCATCCGGGGAATCTAGATAAATCTATTTCAATCGATTTTGTTTTACTGCCAGGTTCAATTTTGATTATGACGTAATAAATTTGAAATTAGGTAAAAGGGGGTTACCTGTCAGCCCAATTTTAAACCCAAAAATTTCATGACAGTACGAAGCAATCACGAATCCTTCTAATATGTATAGTTTACTTAGCAATTATGGGGTCAACATTCATGAATGGACGAATTGGTAAATATGTGAAGAAGTTAAAAATTATATAAAGTGATAACTTCGAAACGTAATCCTCTGTTGTAACTTGATAGTTGCATTCTTTTGATAGTTGCATGCTTCGATAAATAACTGAATGGAAAATATTTTCAATTGCAGTTTTCAAGCCGTATTTCATGGGCTCCATGCTGCCTCCTAGCGTAAGTTGCTGCCCATTGCCATTAAAATCTAATGGATTGGGGTTCAATTGATTATTAACGAAGTTTTTTAAAAATGAAGTCCATGTAAGAATTTTTACGTCTGTTGTTTAATTTAGTACGTCTATGGATTCGGTTTGTCGATTTGAAAAATGACATTTTTTTACGCTTCTGCTATGACAAAATTTGATCATGGTGATTATTGGACACGAAATGGACCTATGAATCGTTTTGAATCATTATGTTCTTGTTGGTGTTTTTCGCTTTTTTCATCAACTGCATTATTTGCTTTGAAATTTTCAGTTGTCCATTCATTTTTATTTATTCCAGAACCTTCTATGAGCTCTCATGTGATTCGTTTTTCACATCTCTTGGATATTGATTTAAATCATTTGTAGCGGTTCTTCGACCTCTCTCGTGCTGCTCTCTTGCTACGCGAAAGTCGGAAGTTTTTAGAAGGTACCGGTACTGTAAAAGGTAAGGTAGAGTACTGCTTTGCTTCGGTCTTCATGTTCATATATTTGAGCATCACTCTCTTGTGCGTATTTTTTGTAATTTTAAAACATTAAAGTATTTTGTTAGCACAAAATTACTGACCAATTCTACATTAGCAGCAACTAAAGCGACTTTCGTGTCTGTCGACAATTTCGTCGTTTATTGAGTTTTAAAAAGCTCGTGTAAAATATTATTTTTGGTAGAACACCTTGCATATCATTGGATTCGAAATATCGTATTTCTTCGCAACTTGACCACTTGATTTCAAATGCAGTATTTGGAGAAGGAAGGAGGCTATTACTTATATTTTTTCGAATTCCAACCCGATGTTTCATTCGTGATTTTGCTGTTTCATTTTATTTTATGGCAACACACTTTATGAGCCACTTCGTGTCTATATATTTAGGTATTACACTGTTGTTCTTGATAACAAAAAAAATATAAATTGGAAATTTTTATAATAAAAACTCACCTTAATTACTTCAACCTCTTTGTCCGGGTGAAAACTGAATCGAAATAAAGACGTCATTTCCATCACAGTCCAGTCAATCCCGAATTATATAATGAGAATTGAAGATAATTCCGTATAGGCAAAGCTATTAAGTTGAAAGTTCATAGCGCTAATTGACATTTATATTTCACTCTGAAAATATAAAAATGGGAAAAATGAAGATAAGTTGATTGGTTGAAAAAGTACGTTATTGACCAGTGTTTTAGGCGTACCTTCCATAGATTTTCTGTAAGATTTTCTATAGTAAGACTACAACCAGCCACTCAGACCTGCAAAATTGCTAAGTGCATAGACTGAAATAGGTGTATGCTTTCATGATATTATATTTATATAGTGAGGGGATGAGCGATCTGATATAACTATTATGGTTTATCAGCGTACTGCCTAATTTAAATACAATTGCATTCTGCATAATATAGACATTTGTTATTATTTACTTATACTATTAATATAAGTCACTCTGGCTCAGTAACTGATGGTTTATTGAATTATCAAATTCTAAATAAGCATGACAAGAATTCACCGATTAACATAAGATGACCTGAAAATTTCAAAGCCGGTAACGAAAAACAAAAGCAGAACACATGCCCATCTACAGCAGTATATATTGAGCCTGGAGTCAAATGAGGGTAAACACGTTAATCGCTGATTACTTATCCTCTGCCAGTCAGTCAGTACCTCTATTGGGTTGCGACATACTCCAGTAAATTGGTTCACAAACAATGGTTAGTTATAATGTGATTTGCAAGTTAAATGGATGGACATATATTTTTTTTGGTTTTAAATATTTAATGTAAGGACATTATACGTACACAAAAAATGTAATTATCAATAAATTTAGCAAATAATAAATTTGGCAAATTTCATAATACGCAATTACATCTCTATTGCTCGCCCAACAGACTAGAACATATTTGCACAATATAGATAAAAAAAGAAAATAAACATTGCATTTTATTCTGCTCAACAAATATTTGAGATGAAATTTATGAAACCCTCCCTTGATAAAAGATCAGAAAGGTGTTTGTTTTATTAACCTACATGTAGGTTTTACCTAATGTTTGACCATTTTAAATATATATATATATATATATATCAAGTATAATTAACGCGACAAAAACGAAGTTTTTGATATTTTCATGACTCATTGATATATATATCTGTATTTTTTGTTTAGAACAGATCTGCCTCACTTTTGATTAAATTAGGCCAAAAACCCAACCGAAACGGACTCGAATTTAAACTGTTTGTTTGAATCTTTGGAAGCTACAGTTGTCATATGAACTATAAAATTATGTTTCATACAATTATAGTTTTTGAAAATTGCATCGTCTCTTCAGTCTCGACATACGACGGCACTCCAGAGGTGTGTGTACCAATATCGAGGTAACTAATTTTGTTCGTCTACTTTACATCAAGTTGTGTAAAGGCACGGAATCCTATGGGCCGGGGGTATATTCACTTGTAACACAGGCAGTCCACGAACCTGGTACACACACTACGGGAGTAACCCTATATGCAAATCCTGTACTGCGCTGGTATCTTAAAAAATTAAACTATGCGCTGCATGCAATCCCAAATGTGTCAAACTACGGGAATGCCAACTTCCTTGTTAAGTCGTAACATAATACAATAGACTCCATGAACTGAATTATGCATTGCATTATAATCACGCACAACTTACGTGTTTTATGTGCGTATGCAGTGATTCACACATGATTTTGGCGCTGTAAAGTATATTAGTGCATTTACGTCATTTTACTGAAAGAAATCACTTGTTCTGGTATACCTATTACCAATTTTCAATTAATTCTTATTTTAGAAAAAAGGTTCAGTAGAACACTAACAGTGCGCATAATATATATTCATCAGCATTTTTAAATGTAAAAGATTAATTTATTTGCAGCAATAATAATATACTAAGTAATACATTTTGGTACATCACTAAAAATACCTATATCACAGGGTATGCATCTTGCCAACGATGCAACATCGCAATAATTTTATATTCAAATAAATATAAACCTGTTTTATTGGCATGTTTAACCAACTAATCTGTGTTTTTGCCGCGACTAAAAAGCAAGGAAAATCAGCGAAATGTCTGAAATTTTCATTCATATACTGGCCCTCATAATATTATACGTTACACCATTAACTAAAACACGTCTGGTTGAAAAAAAATTTTCGTTACTTAGAATTTTGGGATTAGCGTAATAAGTGTCCTATTAGAGATGACCGCAAAATTGATTGAGAAACATGAAGCCAGAAACATGAAAAGCAATACTTGCTGAACATATGCTTTCAATTAGATTTTTGCGACTGGCTGTACATACTCTCTATTATGCCATTGTGCTGGCGGGTTAAGCATAGCGCTGATACACTTTTTCATTTCTGCCTTATTGTCCTTAATCCTTGTCCTAATCGCGCCTGTTAATAAGTTATATATTAGGACAAGGACATCTCAGCTGATCGCACGAATGCTGATGTTGCACGTCGACTGCCGATTCCGTGGTCTATACTCGGCCGTACATAACTAGAGTATAATATTATTAAGCCAGTTTAGGGTTATTTTATCTGAGTTGGTAAGTCAATGTTCAAATTTACATTGGCGAGAAAAGAGAAAGTACATAATGCATGAATAACCAACAAATAAACGGCATTTTATGGGGTCACGTAATATTGTTTGCGTTCACTAAAATTTCTAGGTAAATTTTCAAATTTTCAATTTAATAGTTCGTCAAATGAAGTGTAATCAAAGAACTTGTTACTGATTGTTCAATCTCCAAAGGCCACAAACTGTGGATGACCTACTAACACGTTACTCGATTCATTAACAATATTAATAATGTGTACAGACTTATATACATTGCATGCAGTATTAGCGGACGATACGGCAATTTTTTTTAAAGCGTGTGCAATTGTTTGCCGAAACAACCGCCGCGCGACCCATTCATTGTACATAATGTATTGCACTGTGCGATACTTTATTGTTTTGAGTTGAACGCATCGTTACGAAATCAGAAGAGCCTGAATATCATCCTTCCCTGTTTAAAATCATCTAATTTTTTTAGAATATTCACGTCATAAATATAGATACCTAAATTGTTATTCTGAAGAAACCTTTTTCTATCAACTGGATAAAATTAAAATAAAGTTTTATACGGTATAGTTTAGTATTCTAGAATTTTGAATATCATGTTTTTTGCGTGCCAAACAGGACATAAATGTCAAAATTATTTTCCTTGCATATTACATAAATAATAACATTACTGAAAAATGACAAGTGTACGAACAAAAAGACTAATTAGAGTAATTATTTCTACAATTTTACGTCTTTCAACAATGGCGTCATGTAGCATTTATTGTGATGTCATAAGATATCATCCCCATGCTGTGTGAAATGTTTTATGACGTCATAAGAAATTTTTCAAATTTGAAACCACGTTCCTAGTACATATCTGCCAACGACTGCCTTTGACACGTTTTTCCAGTAACGATAAAGTTTACCGCTGGTTGACCTTGCTACTATCTACAATACATCATTTATATACTATTTTATAATTCAATGCGACATAAATCTGCGAGTTAATAAAGCAGTTAATATAGCTGCTAAGCGTAAGCATATACAGGGAACATATTTTCGAAATCTACAACACCAAGACATTCACGATATTTACTGTTGAAAATGAATCTAGGCTACTACTTTTTCGTGATTATTCCTTAACTTAATTCGTCTATGTAGAAAAGCGCCACTCACATTGCTTGAATCTGTGCCACTTCGTATAGTACAGTAAATAATATTATAAAATGGAATAATATTCAGTCTATTATTTCTCTAATCTAATTGTAAATTCACTAGGTATTGTGTTCTAACTGTCTACAATATACCTCAGTCAGGCAAACATTTTTCTTTGTGGGGTATAACAGGCTCAACTCACGGCTGTATTTTTATTTTAATGATTTTGAGCTTACATGATTGATTGCTATTGAGAGAATTGCACGAAATCTATTTATTCAAGTTTGTTATTTTAGATGACAGTTCTTCATTTCCGCTTCAAAAACTAAGCGCAAATTCATTAGCAGCCTTCTCACAATGTATGCAATAACTTTAAGCAGAAGAACTTGTGTGAGCTACCTACTTTCCTTTGAACAAACTTGCATGCAATAAATCCGAATATATTTGTGAAGCAAAGTACAATAATAACGGCCAGCACTTTTAGTTGATATATCATGAAAGGAAGTTTAACACACAAACGCCTAACTGCTATTAAAATCTATTTCGCCACAAGACATCATTTGTCACCTTCAAAAATCTTAAATTTTCAGCTGGTAGCTCGATTTCAATTAGCCTTTCATTTATAGTAAACAGTTTACAACCTAATACTGTATACTACTACAAAGCTCGTGCTACAGCTGTATGACGAGGCAGGAAGTCCTTGCTTGCGGCGTAAATTTGCGGTGATTCACATGTTCGCTAGAATGTTAATTCAAACTGGAATAGATAATAGTATAAATCTGTAAGCATGCAAAAGCTGTCGTTACTGTTTACGTCTGACGTAACGGCGCGACGTGACTGATACATCACCACGTTTTAATCGGACTTGAAAATGTTATTTGGTGAAACTTATTTTAATGCTATGATGTTGACCATATTTTTTAGATCTCAGTCATATTGATTAGTGCTAAAAAGTGTGGCAATATCGAAATCGCAACTATCTTACTGCACGACTATGATTTCCCCTGTGTGACAAATTCAGGTTGTGCTATGTTATTCGTTACATTTATAAAATTTATCTCGTATCTCGAAAACTCAAATGTTGTGCTTTAGAAAAAGGATCGCCATACATTTTAAGAAGTAATATACCAGGCGAACGTTGAGACCTTGAATCTTGAACCACTTACAGAACCCTATTTATTTTCTGTTCGGGATAGATATTTGGATTCGTAGCGTTTTGAATAAACTCAATTATCAAGATTTCTATTAGTTCTCTAAATCTTAAAAATAAGCCCAAATCCAGTCGACAGAAGCAAATCCCAAATTTGCATTCATGTAAATTAGTTTCTTTCGCTAAAGTTGATTTAATGAGCTAAACCAAAAAGATGTTTGTTGCCGATTCTTCAAAGTTTGTCTAGTTCGGCAGGGGTGTGTAACCTGCTATTCAAGTTTTTTGTCACACCCACTTTAAACGAATTGAGCGAGAAATTTGCAGCTTTTTTCTTTTCCCGACTACCAAATTTGTTTTAACTGAAGTGCTAGCAATTCGAAGTTCATTTTCCAAGTGTTTGTCTGTAAAAACCGATCGATAGGGAGATTTTATGACTCCCATTTTAGAACAAACATGTTCGCACAAATATGTTGAGAAAAAGAGTGCCATTTTTTGAATTTTGTCAAATGTGGAAAGTTATCTTGGTTGAAATGTTTTTAGTAAAGATCGCCAACATTCATTTTCAAATACATTGCTGTCAAGTCTTTGCTGTCATATTCTATAGATAACGTCATTGTGCTACGCACATGTCATTTTCCGGATTCTCACACTTCTATCTATACTAGATTAAGACGAGTGTTTATCAGCCTATGGGGGTCACGAGTCACGACCCAAAACTGGGTCGCATGAAATTGTGTTTTCAGCACAAACCTCAATGTTATTCACTTTACATTTTAGTAAATGTTACCGATTATTTTATATTTTGGTATAAGTGTTTCAATAGTATAAAACTTGGCACCATCTATTTTTCAAGCCACGCCACTATTTCAAAAACGCGTGTGTGGCAAACCAGCGCAGATTTCTCACTCTGAAGTGATTTCTAGGTAAATAATGGTTTATGTAAAAATGATTGTTTTAGGCTGTAAGTGATTGGATTTTGCGACCATAAAACACTGCATACCCTGTTACTATTTGAGCATGTTCTTGGGTTGCGAGAAAAACAAAACTCATTTAGCTCTTGCATTTCTCCATGATAAAATTCTTCAAACTGCCTTCCAAATGCTTAATCTTCAATTGCCCGTTCTTACTAATTTATTAGCATCTGTTATGCACTTTCCTCAAATTGCTCGATGCTCAGCGAGTGACAGCTATGTGAATCGCGATGTTTGCTTTGTAGAAGCTAACTTTTAGGACATTGTAACGTCATAGGTATAGATAATAAATTAGACTACGTAGGCTTTGCGACAAAAGAGGGATTAGAATTGCTCGCATGTACAAGAACGTAGTATGTGTACCAGGTTAGAGTTAGGCGATAATTTTAAGTACAGATACTACGGGAGTAAGTTGGCTAGTTTCCGAACTCGTAATAGAACTAAAGTAGGGAAATTTGGAATAAATTTGGTACACATACTACGTTCCGGTGTCCGCCATCTTGGTACGCATACTTCAGGAGCACCCCAGATTTAACTAAATTAAAACCTTGTTTTGCCGTTCGTGCACCATTCAAAATTTGGACTTCTCCGCGGGCCGCACAATTTTTCTCCTTGTGGGCCGCAGTTTGCCCACCCTGAGTGTACGGTTCCACAGCAAGGCCAATGCAAACCCAAAAAACATACCGCTTTCAGTATTTATCAACCCTTAAACCTTATAGAGTCAAGACTATGATGCTACCGACTAAAATATAAATCATTGCCACAATTGCTGTCTATTGTCGAGAAATTAGCGAGTATAGCGATCCGCCATCTCTTGACTGAACGCTTGAAACGGGTGTAGTCAGCAATAATTCAAATTTCGTTTAAAGTCGTTGTTTCGTTCTGATTCAGTCACATTGTTTCACACAACTCACAATAGTATGCAAAACATCAGATTCTACTTATCACTCCAGAAACAGAAACAGAAACTCGATCTTCACTACGAGACAACAAAATGTTGCTAAATCCATTTCTCTAACCATCATTAAATCATTCTGCATTCCACATCTTTTAACCGGATTAGTGCGAACGTTTTGATTTAATTTTATTTCTCTTCATTATTATATCATCACTTGGTTTTGGGCTAATTTCAATAACAGTATTTCAGTCGAATAGGTATTCTGTATTTTCAGCAAATTTGCTTGTTTTAACAATTTAATGATTTCATATTACCATAACAAAAATATTGAAATCTTATGTTTGACTAAATGTTCAATTTAATCTCGTAGATGATAGTACAAAATCAGCAGCGAAGAGAGTAAATAAATTTGGCTACTACATATATCAATTTCATTCTACCGTGCTTTTGCATGAGCATTGCGATAATAAACACATGGTCCATATTATTAATCTTTTTTTTTTTTCAGAATTAGTAAGTAAAGAATCGAAAAACTTTACGTTTGATTATATAAAACTTATATGTGAAAGTGTATAAAATGTTTCCTACTGGGGTACTCCCATAGTGTGTGTACCAGGTTAGGGTTAGGCAATAATTTCATTCCGATTTTCTTTATTTTAATTCTATTACTAGTTCGGGGACTGTCTGCGTTAGCAAAGTGGTTATAACCCATGCTTATAGGTTTTAGTCCCCTTACACAACTTGATGTAAAGTGGGCGAACAAAACTAGTTTCCTCCATATTGGGACAAGCACTTCTAGAGCGCCCCTACTGAATATTGCTATGAAGCAAATAATATTCAAATTAGTAAGAACAAAATTCAAGAAGCTATTTTTAAAAATTGAAGCTGATATATTTTTTAAGTAATATAACTTATTAGATGATTTATTATTTTGTATTTCTTCGGAACCTTGTTAGAATTAATTTTTGCTATACTGTACTAATATTAATCAGAAGCAATAAACTTTTAGGCGGTTGATAAAACTACTACAGAGCAACAGATAACAAAGCTACAACTATTTTTAAAAATGCATCAAGTAATGCTTTTATGTATCAATTTCGTCTTCATCTTCTGCATTTTCGTCACCTTTAATCTCAATTTCAACATTCACAGACGGTAAATCTACATCTACTTCATCAGCAATATCTTCAACAATGCCACCGATATCGATTCCTCCTTGATCAACTTCCACAGACGAATCTCCATCTTTTACTTCTTCAACAATGTCTACAACAATCTCACCAATATCGACTCCTTGTTGATTGTCGTTGTCGTCGTCATTATCATCATTTGAGTCGAAGCAATCAGACCAACCGCCCCCTGTAGTACATCTTTCAATCTTCTTCATGTATATTTTGGAACGTATCTTGTGCATTGCGGCGTCCATTCTCCATAATTTGTAGACATCCATCGGCTCTGTTTGTAGATTTCACAATGATTTTAGAGCAATTCAAAATTTAAATATGGAAGTATTATAACTATAAATACTATCACACGATGACATGATAGAACATAACAAAAATAAATGTTTGAAGACCATGTATATCAATTGTTATATTATATTGGGATGTTCAACAACAAGGATATATTTAAATAACAATTTACATGAATCATGCTGTATAATAGAAAAAAGCATATTGTGGCATGTACATAAATTTAAAAATCCGAAATTGTGAATTTTGCGCGTTTGTTCAAAACAAAGCTCGAAACAAGTGGTAACAAATCTATATGAATCTTCTTTATTTTGGAAAGAACGGAATCCTTCCGGTCATAATGGCTCTGACATGGTGATAGATAACACGGTGTAAGGTGGTAAGTACGCAGTTTTAATCTGAGTTCTTTAATCTAAGTCCTAAGACATTACACAATTTTGCCTAGTCTATCACAGCTATTTCTACACTAATTTTTGATTACTGTAATTGAACTAAAACTCATAGAATGATCATTGACTTATTTAACTAAAAACTAACGAATATAATTCAAAATCGCGAAAAAGAGGTGATGTTCACGACCACGCCTGGAAGTCTGTCTGAGCGAGGAATGTGTCTGAGGCTCTGAGCGGATGCGAAAGGGGCATTGTTACGTCTATTTTTGCATTTTGCGCAATGACCAACGTCATGAAGTATACAGGGAAGTCTATGCCAGGGGAAGCATCCAAACGGCGGTTTCAACGATGAATTAATTTTATTTATCATCTACGCTCGAGGAGTAAATTGCATTTTTTCACGTAACAGAATTTATCGCGAGACACGTTTAGACTAAATTTCATTATATATATCCTGAACAGCTACTCGTTTAACGAGCCTACAATTCAATCATAATTAGAAAAATGGAAACACGCAGATATAAAATTCATATTCTATTCGAGAGATTCGTCACTGCTTAATTTTTGTAAGAATGTATATCTTCTTAAAGCAAAACTTTATCAAAATTTCAGAAACCCTGCGAAAATATTCACTTCGATGTTTGGAAGTACATATTTGTGCGAGCAATTATTTTCGAAAATGAACATTACAAAGAACGAGCAAAAAACTAAGATTAGTGATGCCCATTTAGAAAATCTTCCAATCTTGGCGTCGTAAAACTATCAAGCGTGATGCGGCAACAAGATAGTGTCACATTAAATGTCATTGTAATAATTTTTTAATAAGACGACTAAGTTGAGTTCACGAATTGTCGCAGTTTTCGCACGATGTTCCGTTTTTAACTTTCAAAAAATATATGCGATCCGCAAAAGAGCAACCCTAAATTTTGTCCCGCGAGCGATGTGAAATTTGCCGACCCCTGGGCCATCCGAGTCCACAAATCGAAGACAAAGGGCTGATTGATTCTATGGACTGGTGATCGGACCGGAGGACGTGATAGGAAGAGGAATCGAGGAAGAATTTTACCGAAGACCGTTATATATCATGTATTTTGGTGAAGGTCATTAGGCTGTTTTGGAAAATTAAATTTGTTTTCATTATTTTAATGTTTAATGGGGTGAATTTAGGGAGATAAATGCTATAAGGCAAGATCTTCGAGAAGGTAGAACCCTGGATTCTTTCATTTCCGACCTCTGATATGGTGAAAGAGGGGTTTTTAGCCGTGCTGCTATTGCTATCAAAACTAAAAAAAAACTAAATCGCCTTTCCATCAGTAAACGGGGTAATTTTAGATATTTTAAAAAACTCGCTGAAGAACACCAAGCTCATCCATCTCATTAAAAAACACTATAAACTATGATTTGTCTTCTTATTTGGTCTGTAATATATTCGTTTCAGACTTTCATTTTTTTTTTGCAGTGCCGGGGGGGCGATGAAGTTGTATAAACTGCTATAAGGGGGCGATGGTACAAAAAGTTTGGGAACCACTGATCTAAGACATTACACAATCTAAGTCAAGTTAAGCTACTTACTTGAGTACTCGTCACCCATACATCTGCATACTCTGCACCCTGGAACTTCTTCAATACAAATTCTTGTCTCTTCTCCATTTCTGCATTTGACTTTCGTTGTATCAATGCACTTGAACTCATCCCACATTTCTTGAAAATCCATGGTGCCAAATTCTGCGCAATTGGACCTGTAGTAAAATTGCTTATTTTGAAAAATTGTTTATTTTGATTTTTGCTGGTTCCTTTTGAGCATCAAAAAATTGCAAAAACAGTTTCCCCAAACCCCTCAAAGATAGAGCCTCTATTTTTTTCGTGTTTGAAAAAATCTCTACTGAGTTAATACAAAATTAATTGTCTGGGAAAAGCCACATTAAAAAATAAATTTGCTGAAATTTTAGTTATCGTATACTCCTCATTTTTAGCTATACAATAAACGATATTTGGCACAAAAATAATCATAATCTCTGATTATTCCATTTTAAAATGAAATCTCCGCTACTCTATATTGGAGTTTTTTAAGTTTGAGTTTTAGTCAGTTTTTATTTAATATTATTCTGAGTTTGTTATTTGGTTTTGTTCGGAATGTGCCACGTACCACCATTCTGACAATCCTTCAGTCCAATCGACAATTTGTTCTCTGTATTTTCTATACTGGCATAACCACGACTTCGCACCCATGCAGGTTGATTCATCAATGCTTGAGCAATCAGTTTGAACTTGAAAATATATAAAACAAACGTTATCGACCGACGCCAACACTGTGATAGATAATCAGTATACAAAATTTCACAAAATAAAATCATGCTTATACGTATTGTATTATAATAGCTTACAAACTGGGGCCCCGATGGGGGTCGCGGTAAAATATTATTCTTCACTGATTTGTGTGTTTAAACAAAATATCGATCAAATTTGGAAACAGTACATAATTTAACCATCACTGAAATAAAGCCAAGATCCGATCTTTTGTGCGACAATATGCACATCGATAGCATTGAGGATATCGTCCATTTAATTTTTAGAATTTTTGCTGGATTATTGTCACTTTATTTTTCTTTTAGTTTCTGGGGGCGAAAAATGTTTCCTTGCCGAATGGGTCGCGATGAAACAAGTTTGAATAACACTGGCTCAGAACACAATGCGGCTCAAATATCGTATTATTTTTTTTGTATATGATTGTATTCATTTTGAAATGAATTGAATGAAAATTCAATGTAGCGCATACCTGGTGTCATTGGAGTCTTGGGTGAATCCGGAGATTTTGGAGAACCTGAACAGAATTAAAAATAAGCATTGAAACATTTGAATTTTCACAAGATACACTTTGACCATAAACCTCACAATGCGGACGTGCTCTCATAATTTATAATTAATATCATCGCTGACTAATTTTATTTGATACTTAATACACTTTGGTTAGGAAATGTTCCATATGTCATGCTATACTGTATTTTGGCAAAATTTCATTCGAGTAAAAATTTCTCTTAATTTAATTTTTAGAATTCCATTTTAGTTTATTTGAGTACCGTATTTTACGATCCTCTTTAAATTTCATTTTCCCAAAAACCAATCGTGTGCGTATAAGCCGATTCCACCTAACGTATGGATCAGATAGTGCTTTATTGCCTACACTCAAAAACCAATATCGTTATTGTTTTTAATATCACTGCGTCTCATAGCCCGATGTGCCTCGTGTATAAATAAAAATCCAATACGAGCAATTTATTTATAATACGGTAGTGTGGTGCCGTGTGGTTTTAAATACGGTGGAAGCGTTTTCGAAAGAACCTTCTACGGACTTTATTGTTGGTGTAAAAATGATTATTTAGCAAATATCAATAATTCTACTTTACCTGTTTTGGGAGACTTTGGTGATTTTGGTGAACCTGTAAAATCATGTTTCCAAAGTTAAACGAAAATACATGTTTTGCTTTATTTTTATTATTTTAAATTACGTCAAAATTTGAAAACGTCCAATATTCCAACACGACATAGAATAAGTTACAAAAATAAGGTATATTGGATGAAGTAAAAACTCACCCCGTAAAATATTTTACGACATTGATAAATATCGGTTCTAGGAGAATTCGCTGCAGGACATCTCGCCCTAGGAAATTTCGTCGTATGAAAGATCTTCTTATTTAAAAAAGATTCGTTATTTGAGATCATACCCTAACCCTATAAACTTACCTGTTTTAATCACAAATACTTGTTTTACGGCAAAATGCTCTTGCGATTTTTCCTGTGACGAGATTTCCTACTGTAATTTCTTTACGGCGAAATTTCCTACAGCGAATTTTCCGAACACGATAAATATATAATATAGCGAGGGAGCTTAGAAAATCGGCAAAACATTTTTAGTACTGAAAGTATGTATTAAATATTTATCTTATTATTCATACTTGTTTTTGTAGACTTTGAACCAGGAGATTTTGGACTCTTTGGAGATTTTTCAGATTTTGAAGTCTTTGTTGATCCAGTTTTCTTTGATTTTGGAGATTTTGGAGTCTTTTTGCTTCCAGTTTTCTCCGATTTTGGAGATTTATCCGATTTAGGAGTTTTATGCGATTTCGGGCTTTTCTTTGTGCCTGTAAAATAACAACAACAAGCATTAAATACGTGCTTTTCTTCGTGGAATATGAATTTATCGACAACCATCGTTGGCTTAACATGGAGAGACTTGCTAATATTTACTCGTAGCACTAAATGACATTGTTTGCTATATAAGGTGAACATTGAGGCAAAAAGTTTTTTCATTTGAACAAAAAAAAACATATTATTGCTAACAATCCGTTTCATTTATTAATTATAGAGCAAATTAATCATATTTGTTATATATAATCACGTTTTAGAATACAATTCGAAACAAGACAGGTAAAGAAATATTTATACACAGTTATAAAATGATTTTTGGGCAGCTTTGTGCACTACAGCATAGAATATAAATACAGTACTCAGTATTAGATTTTCATTCAATGCAAATGACGGCTTCGCATCAAGCCGGATAATATTGCAAACCAACCTAAATTTATCGATCGTTTTAACCCTTCTCGAGTAGGTTAGTGTAATGGTCTCGATAACAAAAATAACACAATAATTCACCTTTTCCGTGTGCTACTGCCACCAGCACGACGACAAGTATCAGTAATATCACGGTCAACCTCATGTTTACCTTTTCGTGAAAGACTTATTGTAAAAGCGTAAAATCTAAAAAGAACAAAATTAGTAGAAATGAAATATAATTTTATAACGCTTATTTTAAAATAATAAAATTGTTTTCTGAAAATAAAATTAGATAATAAATAAATATTTTAATCTTTTCTATAGTAATGTAAAAAATTGATATCCTTAACCTTGTTTTGTCGAACCCTACGCGTAAAAGTTAATTGAACTTCACATTGTGAATATATTTAATACCGTCCATAGACAGAAGCTTTCAAAAACCCTTAACTACCATTGAACTAAAAAGCATCATGATTTAAGTTACAATACGTTTGCACGCCTGAATTGTAGTTTTGCTGTTTAAAAAAATTTTCCGTAGTAGAAAGCTGCAAAATTTCCCTAATCTTTTTATCGTTTCAGGTATTTCTAATTGTTGCTGTAAAATTACCCTTATTTTTTATTCATTTTATCAAATCTGCCACTAAATGGGACAATATTGTAGCTTTACTTTACATAACATGATCTCTCAGTATGACCAAAATTCGATCTGATCAACAACTAATTTTTAATTTTATCATACCAACCAATACTACCTACCTATGATACACCCCAAACTTAACTGACGAATTTTTTACTACTTCCAGGTATATATTTCCGGGGTTGTGAAATTAAAATTTTATTTGACCTTTGAAATATGTAGCCATGTCAACATCTTTTGTACATGACTCAAAGTTGAATAAGTCTATTTGCGTCATTTATTTGCACATAACGCACGAAGTGGCACGCACCCTTGCAAGGCATTGTTGCGTAACAAAGACGGAAAACGTGACGTATTTACGCGAGGTGGGGTTCGCGATTATTCGCACCCATGTCCCACCGCAATTTTAAGCGATTCAATAGATAACTGATGTCTTGGCACGAAAGAGATCATAATAAAATTGGTATTTCTACTGGGCTTGTCACCAGTTTTTCACACTTTTGTGTTTGTGCCTGTATAAATCCATACAACGTTCACATATGAATATTCGCATTAGTTTTTTTTTGTTTCATCCTTCAATAAAAACCACTGAGTTGCCATAGATATGGTATAATTTTATTTTAATAACGGGCGTCAACTTTTCAATGCTTGTTTCAATTGTTAGTTGTTTAATTAATTGTTCAGGACAAAATGTTTTCAATGTTGCACCACACCTCAAATGATGGAAATAACAAAAAAAATGATAAGTACGATATCATTAGTGGTTTTTGACGTCATTGTTATGCATCTATATGTGCATTTCTTCTAGTGTCAAATTGATTGTATGGAATTTTCCATGGAATTTTACCAGTTGGCTAGTGATGGCCAACTGAAATTCAATTTATATTAATTTTAGAATATATTATTATTATGGAAATGTCAAATTTTAACTAAACAGACATTACAATAATAACCAGCCATGAAACAATGACCAAATTAATTACGGTAACAAATTTCGATGAGGGTTATTTAAATAACGATTTGTAACGCTCGTATGCTGTATGTAGGAGCGTTTGGTGTTAAAACCGTAATGCTTTTATTCAAATATCTGATAAAAACAAAACGAATATATTAATTTTTGAGATAATTTCAGATATTCACTTTTCAGATTTGTTCGGTATTTGGAACTATGTTGGAAAATACAGATTCGGAAACTTTCTTTCCATTGTAAATAGCACGAAATGTCGACGTGAAATGGTCGATATCATAGTTAATATTAGTAATACGGTCTTAACACATGTGCATATTTGAAGGACAGTGTTAGGCATCATTGCGCATAATTTCATTATTTCTCATATATACAGACATATATCACGATTATCTAACCAAAATACGTCAATGACGCGTTTTTACGTGTTGTTATGAATGATTTATTTGAACAATCACTGAATTAAAAATGCACCAGGTATTTCTTCATTTTACTGATTCATGCTCTTTAATTTTATAATACACTTTTACAAATATCTTTGGCAGCTACGGTCTCAAAGTATATCTTTGGCTATACCATAAGGACATCCACCCATTTTCCATTCATTTAAAATAAAGTTCATTACGAATCATAAAAAATCAACGAAATATTTTTTCACATATTTTCAACTGAAAAAAAAAAAAAAATCTTCTTATCTTACTAAAATTTTTGTTTCTGATTGAACATTTGCTAACTATATTAAAAATGAATTAACTGGTAAAAACTTTATGATACGTTTATAGGTCAACAAAATGTTCATGGGAAGTTTAAAACCAACCTACATTGAGCCATTCGTATTGAGGGTTGCACGGGCATTGGCTGATGTTACCACTAAAACATGAAGGTTGACTACGATCAAAACATGGGAGAAATGCCCATGACAAACTCATTCTAAAATTTCTATGAATAGTTTACGACTGACTTGGTATGCGCGTAAATTATGAGGTGACTAAGATCATGATTGTAATAAGATGGGTTGAGGTAATGCAATAACGCTATAGTTTGTGTGTGGGTATAACAACCCCCAGTAAATTTACTTTGATACTGGAATGTTGATGACATTCGTCTCGAAAAATTATGGTTGTAATAAGCCGTGAATAATAGCTGTTGATAAAGCTGCATACTAAATTTGTCAAACGGCTTCACACGATGTTAAAATTTACTCCCGTAAAATAAAATGGCCATTTTATATTTTCATATCTTTCATATATATGTACTAACACATCCATATGGTTTGTACCTGCTTAAAAGGGAAGATCACTCCATCACTTGCAGACTGGAATTCAAAAATCCAGAATGATATTTTGTGCTATGCACTTGTGAAAAACTCTTCAAATTATTGTAAAGAAGCGAATTATTGAACACGTTTAGTGGACATAACGATTGTTTCAATCTTATGTTGTTATTGTTATTTGTCTCCATCATTTTTAAAAAATCGCTTCTCTCTTCGAATACTGGACCAATTGCTTTGAATTGCAATTTCCAGTGGTAAAAGATAAAATTTTACTCCAGAAGGCTATTACTTTTTTTTGGCGCTACGTATCCATATATTTGAGCTTGATATTGAGCTCTTGATATTCGTTTTTGACGAACTGGCTCTTTTTGTTTTTGTTTTACTTGTTTATATTGTATTTGTATATTGTACAAGAGTTTGCGGAGTCAGAATCGTGGTTTTGACTGATATAGTCCCACTTGGTCAAATTGGAATATTCTCGGTCGACTCCCAGCACGTGTTTTAGCATGTCGCTTTCTTTACTTGGTTGACAGTCGTCTAGGTAGGGCGTGTTTTCGTTATTCTGTATTTCATCTGTTTTAATCCTTGCATTTCTGCTGAAAAGTAACGTTTTTCACATGCTTCACCGGACTATGAAGCCTATTGCGTGGATTTGCAGCACACGGAATCATGTGAGGGTTTTACAATCTTGGCGCAAATCCGAATCGCTGCACTTGACTATAAAGCGAAACTTTAAATTTCTATGTTGATGTTAGGTAAGTCGTAAGAAGTTATGGAACAAATTTGCATCAATATAAAAAAAAACAGGAGTGCAATGCTCAAATATATGGTCACGAAGACCAAAACGAAGTGGTATCGGTACCAAATTTTTCACAGTACCGGTAGTCGTCCATAGCTTCGCCAAAACGAATGAAAGGCACGTCGATGAAATGCGATCACGAAACGGTGCGCAATTTCAAATTTGGAAGACGTCATCACACAAAATTTTAAAGTGAAAAACGAATCCCATTGAGTAAACAGAATGATTACTCCCGAAATGTGTTAACCAAGATGGCGGACACCGGAAAGTAGTATGTGTACCGGGTTAGGGTTAGGCCATAATTTTATCACAATTTTCCTTACTTTAGTTTTATTACAAATTTGAGGACTAGCTAAGTGACTCCCGTAGTATTTGTACCTGGAATTATGGCCTAACCCTACACATTGGTACACATACTACGTTCCGGTGCCCGCCATCTTGGTTGATATACTTCGGGGTACCACAGAATGGTAGCCTTCCAACGACAACGACAGTCTTCAATCACTAAAGGCGTTTTTTTCATAACCACAACAAGATGAAGAAAAATACCAACAACAACAATTTACAAAACGATCCATAGGTCAACTTCCTTTTCAAGCATGATTTTGCCTAATTGGGATTACAAGTATAATGTAATCTTCTCGCAAAAGCTTTCAAAAGTATCACATTCTGCGCATCGACCATACTTCTCCGTCCTAACTCTTCATTAGCTCTCATTTTATTCTTGTTATTAATTTCCAACACATTAAGAAATAGAATCGAAGCCAACTGCTACGAATTACTTATATTACAATGAAAATGAATTATCTTTGACGAGTTGTTAAGCAAAATAAGCACTAACAGTAGGGGACACTGCAGGAATTGTCACAGCCAATTTTTAATGTTGCTTCTGTAGTGAATGAAATTATTCGAGTTATCAGACGATACAGACCTCAATATTGACCCGGTTGTAATGAGTATTTGCTTATGCTCAAAATTTATTTTGAACCGCTGTATAAATAAATCCCCAAAGATAACGCCAATTTCATTAAAACTACTTAATACATATAGGGAAGCAAAGTCTTAAGTTGGTATGCCTCACGGCTTTTGAAGCGTACGATCCAACTCTGGTAGAGACCGAAAGTATATTGCTTTTATGTATATTGCTTTTATCAAGGAATGTTGAGATAAATGGTACTCCCGTAGTGTGTGTACCAGGTTGGAGTTATTTTCCTTATTTTAGTTCTATCACTAGTTTGGGACTGTCTGTGTTAGCCAAGTGAATGTTCCCCTGCCCATAGTTTTCAGTCCCTTTACACAACTTATATAAAATAGGCGAACAAAATTAGTTACCACCGTATTGGTACACATACTTCTGGAGCGCCAGATATATTGTTCAGATGAATATATTCCAGATATATAGAGCGCGGTATACTAAGACCCACTAACAACTAAACTACGAATAGATGATTATAACATTACGATAAATATTAGTAGAACCAAGTAAAATATTATCCTTTTATATTTTCAGTGTCCATTGTTTTTTCACTCTCGCCAGTCTCCACCTCCTGGGCTTTCTCTTCTGTCATTGCGATCTTGTCGAGTCTTCTCTTCCTCGCCATCCATGCAGCCATTGCTTCTACTTGATCCTCCGCCACACACCTGTCTCGCCTTTTTATACAATTGAAATCTTTTATGATACATCGCGACTTCACTTCTCCACAGATTCATTATATCGGTCAGATCTAAAATAAGTCAGATTGCTGATTTTACAGTATAATATATATAATTTTTGCGCTGATGTTGGTTATCTATGATATATCACTAAACTTGACAATATTGCTTGCCTCTGTATCTATGTTAAAAAAACGAAAAAAAAACATAAAAAGATACAGGGTGGTAAAAATTCAACGCAAAAATTTTCGTCATTGCAACAAATACGTCACAGATAGCGATTCCAATTCCTCTTAACATAGAAAGCTAATTGATAATACTTGACATTCAACACACTCAGTTTTAGAATCTTCTTTCTAAATTCTGGATACCATAGGTATTATCATAGTCGTATATATTAAATAAATGATTGTTTTGGTGAGAAATTATTACTTATCAAGAAACAATGCATCATAAGCCGCAAGGTGGTGAGAACCAACCTCATGTTTCTACACTAATGTGACTAATTTGTAAATTTGAAAAAAACCGAGTCTGTTGCTTAGGAAGCGCTGCGAACAGGGTTAGAACCTGCACCGGATTCATATTTAAAATCATCAGTTCAATGCGAATTCCTTTTTTAATTTTCAAGAGTAAATTTTGCGTTACTTTTTTAACACCCTATATAAAGTAGTGGTCGGCAACCTTTTTTAAGTGGTGGACCGGTAAAGCCTGACCCAATTTTTGGCGAACCACCTTTATACAAATGAGCCAAGCTTAAGTAATAACTTATACGCGTTATAAAATTTGGGTTGACAATATATTCAAAAACAAAGGTGATGCTTTTCAATGCGAGATCTGTGTCTGTTTGCCGTCCATTAACTGTTCCCAATTCGGAGACATGGTCGACAGCGATACACAAAACGGTTTCTCACGTCCAGCCTACTTCGGTATTTCGTTTTTCTAGTTAATATTGAAAACCCGATCTCACATAAGGAAAAAGGTAACAATGCGTGTGTCTGGGTATCTCAAAGACACTTTTCAACTCATTATCATTTGAAATTTCAATCAACTGCTCTATATAAGACAATCCTGTCGTTGACAAGACAATCTCATCGTTCGAAGAAGTTTCGAAGGTTTCATTGCCACATTTGAGAGCTTAGTATAAATATGACAAAGTACGCAAACTGGACAAATTTTATTGCAATGACTTGCGGCTACGAATACGTATTGCAAATATAACTCATTGTCCTTGCTCTTGAAATTTTTTTTTCCTCGCGTATGATGTTCCAGTATATCTACACTCTCAGTTTCGTTAGGTATCGGTGCGCAAGATTCAAGAATTGCTTTATTGATGTTTGTTTAGCCATAACTAATTTTATTACAAGATGTGCTAACTTGTCGGCGGATTTGTGTTGTTAGATTGTAGATGTGGTATTAAGGCCTTGTCCTTGGACAATTTGTTTGCAAAATAAAATATTGTAGTTACTTGCACTAAAGATCGAAATCGACGAAAAAATGATGAAAAGGAATATATGTTGATAATTCCGAAAAAAACTGCTTATATTCAGCCAATGGAACGTGCTACATTAGCATCCGCTACATAATTTATAGAACCAAACGTATAACACCCTGGTGTAAACTGTATGGCACTCCGACTTAGCGACTATTTGGTCAAACTTACTATTTTCGTATTCATTGTCCGCACATTCGCATATTTGGCATTCCATTGCGCCACCCGAACATTTTTTCATTCCTTCTCCATTTTTGCACTTGATGGGCATTTGTTGACATTTGAAAGATTCCCTCCATTCCTTTTCATCCTCACTATCCGTAGGCTGACCACAACCAGACCTAAAGTTGAAATTTTGATGAATGAGTTTGATCTATTCAACACCAAATTATTTAAAAGTGGAGCGGACATTGCTCGAATTTATAGACACGTATTGGTCATATAACAACAGTTTGACTAAAAAATAAAGTAGGACTTCCTTCATCTTCGTGTACTAAAAATTTGAAATTGATTGGTTCAAATTAATATATTTTCAATTAAATCATCTTGGCGAAACCATCCTTTATTTTTTTTTTCCAAATTCCTTTTAAATCTAGTGGTACCGAACATTTACACAACATTCTGCTGTTTTACTTTCGATTCCTGGGAACACTTTTTATGGCGTATAGAAGCATTATATTCTGTCACGCTAAATTCGCGACGTAATCATTTTTGAGGAAGTTCATTATAAAGATGATTTGTACCGGAGATCTCAGTTAACGGTTAAAATAAATCGTAACCGTTCATCATCTAAAATCGGTCAATTATTCCCAGCCCTAGTAACCAGACTTGCACAGCCAGTATTCTTACCACCAAATTTCAATCTCGGTTTTCCACGACATCATAGCGGTTCTGAATGTGTTAATTTGACACATCCACGCTTTCATCCTAGTCTTTATACACGGAGAGTTGAAGGTACTTGGACAATCAGATACTGTCATACTAGGTCCAGCAAACTCTTCTTGCATCGTTGGCTGTTGCCTCGGAGGTGATTCTGCATAGTAAAGAGAAGGAAGGAAATTTAAATTTCTCCAAGATAGACTGTCAGTTTAGGCACTTTTACTTGTTATAAGTATTTTATACAAGATTGCTGTTCTCTATATTTCTTATACCAACAGTAAACAAAATTTCGACAAGGTATTTTTGTTTCAAGCTGAGGTGAATATATTTTTATAGAAACCCTAAGGCGACTTAGCAATTGATTTATAGCAATGTCGTTCCCAATGTTGATCATTCCGCTCCGTCAAGTTACTTGACATGGCACAAAGAGAACATAAAATTTTTCGGATTTATTCTATATCAATGATAGTATTCCTGCCCTGAACGCTAGAAAGAAGCTAGCACTTGTAATTCAAGTACCTTGTGGAGCAGCAGCTAATGCGATAGGAATCCCAGCTTCTAATCCATCTAGTGAAAATAAACAAAATACGGTTTACTGATTGGTTCCGTCAGTAAGGTTCGATGAGGCCATTCAGGTAAGCTATTAATCATGTCAGTCTAAACCAAAAATATTTTTAATTTGGGAATATCTTAGAACGCAGCCAATTTTGTGGTACCACATAGTGGTTATAGCGTTGTTTTTATCTAGGTTAGCATAGCAGGTAAAAAATTTGGATTTAAATCAAAGGTTCGCCACCGGACGGATTCCGTTCTCTCTGAAATAAAGAGACTCTCCGCCCACCGGGGGCTGTTTGTACAGAGTCCTGTTCGGAATGAAGGAGTTATTTTCTTCTTGGTTATTTCAAAATATAGGAGCACCTTACCTATGAATTACCTTCGTCTTCTCTACAAAACCATTGCGGAGTGAAAAGTACATAAAAAACGTTATAGCAATTTTTTTCTCATAAAATAGACTGCAACTTATTTGAGTTACATAGAGGACTGTGAAGTCATAATACAGCATGTTTTCGATGGAGCGGATTCGTATCTTATTAATTCCAAGTTTTTTACGGAAGATTGAGTTTACTAAGCGGTTTTAACATGCTTCAAAAAAAGCTTGCTTTTGTCGAAGATTGTAATATTAGAGTTTGATTTAATATGAGTATTAAACGGCCAGATAAATTTCGAATTTATCCGGCTACAATGGAAGCATAAATTTCCTGAAACTTTCAAAAAATCTAGCAAGTGTATTTGACAAGCTTCGTACCTTTTGGGCCAGTCGCAAGAAAAACAAGATTTCCGGTTCCTGAGTCATCTGATGTAAATAAACAAAATAGTATTTACTGAATTGTTATGCTTACAAGGTATTTCAATGAAATCATTCAGAGAAGATGAATTTCACCCAACTCTCTTAAATAAATAGTTATTCTAGTTTACGTTTACCGCAATTTTGAAAAAATGAGAATATTAATTTATTATAATTAAATAATAAAATATCAATATTGTTATTAATACAATATTATTTTTTTTCTATTACTTACCTCTGTTTTCATTTGAAAGTCTTCCATAAAGCTGTCGCATTCTTTCGCCAATATCTTTGAAATATAAGAATTCAAGATTGTTAGATTTTAGGGATTGACTTGCCAAATTATTGACGCATTCTTTTGTAAGACTAGGCTTGGTACAAGTAAAATTTAAACTTCTGAACTTATTTATTCTAACAATTAGAAGAATGACATGCAAAACAAAATATATACCAGAACTAGTATCTCCAGGATTAGCTGGTCTCAATTCAATTTGAACGGGTTCTGTAAAAGAGTTATGTCAGCATTAAATAAAATGGTGTTGCTCCTACGACGTAAATAAGATTTTTCTATTTTGACAACCTTTATTTGACGGTCATCATGTATACGTAAAAAATGATTTATTCAGTTATTTTAGTGATTACACTAATATACGTTTGTAAAAATTAATCTTACCTATTTCAGGTCTAGGTTCAGGTATTTTAACTGGATCTACTGCAAAGAAGACATTTATAATCACAATATATTGTCCAAAAAAATCTCTAAGCATGTTTTAATAGTGAAGATCAGTGCAGAACAGAACAAATTAAGAAAGGGATTTTTCAAATAAACAACGAATCTCCTATTAAAAGTCTATTAAAGTTTGGTTGCAAACAGTTTACAAAGCAAAGTCACAGCTGATGTGCGATGAATAATCAAGCGTTGGTCAATAACAAAATTTTTTGGTCACAAAGCCAACATAGTCCGGTTCAAATGGCCATTTTCATCTGACTTTTTTCAAGGTACGTCGTTAAGAAATAATGACATGACATAATTTTATAAATGAACATTCGAAACATGCTAGCAAATTTTAACGGAATTTCTCTATCATCTAACAAATCAATTCTATACTATCTGGTGAATTTTTAGTCGAGAAGTTCAAAGCGTTTTGTTTTTAGCAAATGTGTCTGTAGCATTATCGAGTTCATCTTATTAGAACTATTTATTAACAATATTTTTACTATTACCTGATGGTAATTCAAGTATTTCGTCTCTTCCGTTTTCTAGAACTGGAGGTTTTTGATCCACTGAGTGAGATTAAAAATAGCGATATTATGTAAAAATTTTGCAGAAACTCTCCAAATTATTTCTGGTATAAAACGGGTAGAGTATTTGAAATCAAATGTATAAATACCTGGACGAGACTCAATCGACAACTCAGGTTTATCATCTGCAATCAAGAGTTGAATTTTACTCGCTAGGATGTATAAAAATTGAATTGCACTAAAAAGCTAATTATCCAAGCATATCATGTTTTATTCATTTGCCCTAATGTGAAAAAATAATATATTACCCGTAGGTGGCCCAATCGGTAAAATTGGTTTGCTTTCTTCTCCAGCAGCGGGTTCGGATATATCTGAATGAAAGTTATAAAAAAACACAAGTAAATTAGTACATTACATTGCATCGACTTTAACCAAATCTATTGAAAATTTGAAGCATATCCAAAAATAAGTTTTTTTTTCGTCAAGTGCTGTTCCCTCTATTATTGCAGGTTTTTCGTCTGAGTCTGCGGAATCGTTTTTGCAAATATACATCCCCATATAATTAAAGAAATCAATGTAATGTCTTTGCGCTTTATTGTATATTGGGGAGAAATTGCGAAAGCAAAGTTACTGGAAGATGCAGAATTTTGGCAATCGCTTCGCTGCGATTGAAGAAGGTTTCGCCTTTGTGTCTGCCGTCTCTGTTATACCAATGGAAATTAACGTGTCATTGGTATCGATAAATAATGTGCGATGTGTTCAAAATTCGTGAGAATCTATGGAAACGCCCGAAAAAAGGTTTTGCTCTATCTACTTTATACGAACATGATTCCAATTTATTGGCGCGACAATATCTCTATGTCATTGAAGTTTTCCCATAGTCCTAAGATTTTGATAATTCTCATTAATGAATCATTTCTTTGAGTTACATGTGAATCTGATTCTACTAACAGACACCAAGCACAAAAATCGCTTAAGTGGTGTTCCTGATTTGCTCACCAGTAATCCTGCTTCTTTTAAAATCGTGTACAATCTTACTTCAAGAAGAATTTCAGTTGAATAAGTTTAAGAATGACAAAAAAAATCGAACTACCTCCTTCTTTAGGTAGTGTTCCTCCGAGAAGTGACGGTTTAGGGACAGTATCTTCAGTTGCTATTTGTACAAATAAAACCCGTTGTTAAATTGAAGCACATGATTCAGTCAAACAAAAAATCTACAGATGGCATGATAGAAGTATACAAAATTATCAGTAATAGTTTTTTTAATATCAATTCAATATCATTTGTGAAGGTATTTAATGCAGAACATATAGATTAAAAATTCCGCTAAGGCATTGACCTTACTCCGGATATCTGTAAAGCTAAAATGACACGGTGTTGGGTACAACTTCTAATCATTAAATCATAACGAATCAAATGGTGTTTTTATGTTATTCCACCTCGAATTGCAGCGTTTTTTAACAATTAGCGACTGTTCTCCGATCCACAAGTCAAGTCTCCACAAACCCAAATACTGAACATAAAAGCAAAAACAAAAAATAACATAACAGAAAAGCATCACCACACTTTACAATTTTATATTGAAACTCTGCAAGAATATTGCAAATTTCAAATAACATTTATATTAAAAATAGTTATGTCTTATTGAAGAATTCTGGCTTTTTGAACATAGACTACCTTCAGGCGGTGTTCCTCCAAGCAACGTAGGCTTTCCTCCGTCATCCTCAATCGGCGTTTCTCCAATTGTTTCGAGTTTTGCTTCGGAGTCTTCTGGTGCTGTGGACCATAATTTTATTTTCAATTATTGCTGAATGCAAAGCATACAATTTTTTTTCCATTTACTAATGCCTCATTCATCGTAGCTGTTCTGTGCCGTTAACACACTTAAAATGGTGCCAGACAAGACTCATGGCTGTTTCTGACTAAAATGAGATCTGATCTCAATGAGCATTAAGATCATACTCCTTGTAATATCACTATGATAAATGAAAAATAAAAATTGTTTTGACTTTTTGTGTAGGGGCGTTTGGCCGTCATTGAGTTGTCTACGTGGACGCTTCTAGTAACAACATTTTGAAACTTACCATCTTCAATGACGGAAACTTCTTCTTCTGAGGGTATTGGTGGTGGGATATCATCTAGGAAGTATAAAAAATTTTGTTTTCGTTCATTTATTCAAAATTCATAAAAATAATATGTTTCGACTGTGTAACAATAAAATAAAATCTTGTTTCATGTGTGCATAGTCCGATTTATATTAAAATTCTAATTCATGTTAATAATGATGTGTTAATGCTCCAGATAGGTCAATTTGCGAGATAAAATTTCTAAGCATTAAAGTTTTGGAAACTGAAGGACATTGTTATATTTCATATAAGAACGTAAATCCCCATCTGGTTTTATTAATTAAGGTGTCGAGCTGTATTTTTATATTTGTTCTTCATGAAATATTGTTTAAAGGGGTAGAAATATGTACTATATAATCAAATTACAGTCCACTTCACTTTTTGGATCGGCAATTGAAACTGGTAGTGCATCAACAGCTGAAGTAAAATGTATATTTTCATACAAATTCCGCATACAAATTTTATTATCGGTTGCATATTCATTGGTTGAAATTTTAAAAACATTTCTGCATTTACTGGCCTTTTCCACCTGATACTTAAAATGTTTATGACATGATAAAAAAAATTATCATTTCCGTGCTACAATCCTTATACACTTTGGGCTTCTCGACTGAATCTTCGAAAATATTGGTTGAAATGTTTGTATTTTATCGATAATTTAAAAAACGTTCTAGTTTTTACATTCTACGTTTAAAGTTACCTTCTTCTTCACTAGGAGGCTCGATAATCGCAGGAACTGGCGGTGAGTCAACAACTAAAATAAAACGAATTCATCATTTCACTGCCGGTTTTATACAGCTTTTGAATGACTTTTGAGAACTTGCACATATGTTTGGTAAATTTGGTTTTGGCAATACCAAATTAATATAGAAGTTAAAAGGCCTCTAGTAAAAAAGGCTATTGCAAAGTTTTTGTTATTCAAAATTTATCCACAGTTCTTCGACTTGTGTATATTTTTCAATATTCTTGCACTTGCCAAAGGCCTTTTTCAATTAACAAAAAGACAATGCCAAAATATATGGATACTAATATCCAATAACTAACGCAGAAAAACACTACAACATTTGCATCTTACATTGAAAAACGAAAAAAGCAATACGAAAACAAAAGACAGCGGTGACGTGGAAAGAGTGAGAGAGAGTATTTTTTCGTACCACAAAACGATCCACTTTTCATGTGCAATAATCTGACACAGGGTGGTCCAAACTGCGGCCCGCCGACACATATCGTGTCGCCCGCACAACAATTTTAGCGTACAGGACGAACCATTGGCAGATATTGTATTTTTTTAGCAAAACAATTTTGATTTATTTTTGAACCATTCCAACTGCGAATAGTCCTTTTTCTAATCCCGATGTCGTGATTAATGTTTGTTAAAATCACGGAATTTTATTGTTGAATCTAAAAACGTCAAGACGGTGCCTGTATGGGAATGGCGTCCTGTGATCAGTACAAGGATAATGAGTTGTGCAGACAAAACCAAACCGATGAGATTAACTCGCGTCAAGTAACTCGTCAAGCTACAAGAAATAATTTTTTTTAAATAAAATATTTCATCATACAAGGATTACAAAAAAAGTTGACTTAGAGGAAAGTATTTCCTTACTCACAACAATGTGAAACCACAGTGTTTGGTGTGTTTTCAAGTAATATCTGTCACAAAAAATGGAATTTTCAGCGACAACAAAACCAAACGCGAGAAGAGATACCGAAAATACCATGATATTTCTCGGGAAGCAATTTTAAAATAACTGAAAACTTTATATATTTTTTTTGAAAAAATAATTTGAACAATAAACCCTCATCCATAAATATGTTTAAAGTAAGTAAACTGGCGATGTGTTGATCACTTTTGGGTTTTCTCCGTCTGCGGCCCTCGAGACCTTCTCAACCGTTTTTGCGGCCCTTCAACCTCGCAACCTCGGACCACCCTGATCTAACAGAATCAAACGTTTTCGGTACTTGAATGAGTGGTAACGAATAGCGATACGACCACTGGCAGTCATCTGAGTTAGTTACCACCGAATTCGGGCAATAATATTAGATTAAGTTTTACTGGCGTGCTTTTCCCGCAAAATTGACCTCACTGATTTATAACGTTTTCAAACGTACCATCTTCTTTGACGGAAACTTCTTCTTCTGAGGGTGGAGGGACATCAGCTATAGAAAACATAGATAATTTAAGAGACTTTTCATTAATTTTGAATTCGTTCATATATATTTATATTCATAAAAATAACATGTTTCAAAAGATTTACAAAAATGATTTATAAATATATTATGTTATTAAAAAATAGCCTATATATATACCAAAATTTTGAATAAAAAATCTTGTCATATATGTGCATTATGTCCCGATTTTTCAAAATCTTAATCCATGTCAATAATGATAAAGTGTTAATGCTCGACTGAAAGGCATTGTTATATTTTATATTTACCTAAATCCCCATCTAGTTTAATTAACCATGGCTCCGGCTGTATTTATATATTTGTTCTTCATCAAATATATATTGTTTGAAGAGGTAGAAATATGTACTATATCATTAAACTTACAGTCCACTTCACTTTTTGGATCGACAATTGAAACTGGTAGTGCATCAACAACTGAAATAAAATGTATATTTTCATACAAATTCCGCCATTTTATTATCGGTTGCATATTCATTTGTTAAAATTTAAAAACATTTCTGATTTACTGGCCTTTTACATCTGATGCTCAAAATGTTTTTAAATCCTTTGGCGCATGTCATGCATTAAACATCAAACTGAAAAAAAATTATCCATTCCGTGCTACAACCCTGCTTACAGACTTGCCCTTTTTGACCGAAAATTCCATATTTCGCGTAAAATGCTTGTATTTTATCGGTAAATTTAAAAAACGTTCTATTTTAAAAATTCTACGTTTAAACTTACTTTCTTTTTCAATTGAAGCTTCGACAATAGCAGGTACTGGCTGTGGGTCAACAACTGAAAGATAAAGAATTTTGCATTTTACTGACGGTTATATACAGCTTTTGAATGGCTTTTGGAAACATTTTTGAACAAATAATAGTATTAAAAACTTGCACATATGTTGGGTTAATTTAGTTGCAGCAAAAAATAATCATTAATATAGCCACTGATTTTTTCGCCAAGCCGGAAAACACGATTTACAAATATTAGGTTTTCGGTACATTTACAGTCATCTTAGTCAGTTTCCACCAAATTCGGCAATTATTTTAGATTAGATTTTACGGGCGTGCTATTCCCGCAAAGTTGACCTAACTGACATCATTCTTAACCAACATTAAGATCCTTACCCGCGTCCTCTGGTGGCGGCACCGGAACTTCTTCAACTAAACATAACGAATATAATTTAAAACTAGATTAGATATATGCAAAAGTTGTGCTAATTTTAATATTTTATTTCAATTAAAGGATTAAACAATTCGGGGTAGCACTAATTTGTAATTAAAAAAAGCTAGACTGGTACAAAAATATATACTTACTTTGTCCATTACAGACGGAAAACGTCAAAAGTATAAAAGCAATCACAAGCTTCATGTTTCATTTATATTCTATACCCAGTTAATAAAATTCAAAACTGATACTTTTAGACTCTAAAATTTAGAGTGACAATTGTTTAAATGCCTGATGCCTGGAAAATCAGAGTGTTAAATATTATATTCTTATTCGACACAATGACATTACAAGCTATTTTTGTTCGTGTTTATAAATATTTACTCATATTATATAAAATATCCTATTCAATCAAGGAGATGATTGATGATATCTTTATCTCTGAAAAACGGTATTTTATAGGGGACAGAAATGACGAACGTATTCGTCTTTGAACTCGCATAAATTATTTACTTTATGGAGATCCTTCCACTAAGTCATTAGGAGTCATCCTGACTACCTGTATCTCGCCGTGTCTGTGTTGAATAGTCTAATCCGGCCAGTGATCTTTTCTTTCATTTATAATCTCTCTAAGTTTGGTTGAATGTTTGTATCTGATTTTTGCGAAACTTTTATAAAAAAAAATGACCGCCATCTATGAAACAACGCAGTCCGATACAAATTTTTCTAATAACTAATATACTTCTTAAAAGCAATGTTAAATAAAGTTCTAATGTATATTCAATCACTCCTCCATATATATTTATCTTTTTCAACGATCATTCAAAACGCCAATAAGTTATCGGATGTTGTCATAATGCAGTAAATGTTATATTCCCACATAATATAAACATATTGCTTTAAAGGTGAAATATTTTCTTGTTAAGGCGTACTTAGTAGATACTTATACCAAACACGGTAAGAGAATGAACTTTCCTTCGAATTTCTAAAACCATCGTCAAGGTTTAGTCCATCGAAGCAGTATTCAATGGAAATCTTGGCTAATATAATGCCCAAACACCCTGTAACCAGTAGTGGGATTCAGCCGGTTCGCATCGGTTCTATAGAACCGTCTCACGGAATTTTATGAGATCAGCGAACCCGTTAGCATCACACTACTTTTTGTAACAGAACCGTCTGAAAATTCGACATTTGTATGATGGAACCGGCTGACAAAAAAATTGAATCCCACCACTGCCTGTAACTACAAATTAGCAAACACTAACCATCGGCTGTCTCCTGTACAAAATCACAGTCTTAAACTGCTAACAATAAAAAAAATTGCCTTAATTCAGGCCCATTCTTGTGCAACAAAGTATGAATTCTTATGAATGCTCACCGGTTCAATGAACGTTAATTAAACGATTGAATAAAGGTGTGTCTTTTGGCATCTGAAGAGGATAATTTGTGCTTCATGATTATCAGTAGTTACAAAACATCTGAAACAAATTAATACGCTTATTCATGTAATAAGTCGATGTACAAATATACGTAAGCAAGCTAGTTAAATCTAATATTATATATAATGATATCAACTACATTTTTCCACCAAAACACTGTTTGTAGCAACGTGCATAGTTGTCACTATTCGAGATGATCCAAAATGTTGAATCCGTGAAACTTCATGCATTATAGAAACATTGCTGCGTGTGAAATCCGTATAATAATGGCATTTACATCATTACTTATCGATCTTTAGATCGGTAAGTATGTTGGTAGGTATTTGTCTGTTTGTCTGTCTGTCTGTTAGATGCACGCAATATCTCACGAAGGCGTGGTTGAATCTGCATGTGCATTCGTCATATCTCGGTTCAGGAGCCTATTGATTTTGAATGAATTATATCGTATAGTTAGCGAGTTAATAATTAATTAGTGATGGGACACAAGGTGTCACTGTGGAGTAAGAGGTCTGTTTTGGGATCCCCTAACTTTCGATCGATAAGTCTTCGGTCTCTGACCGATATTCTCGTTTCTTATATTGCAACAAACAGTTATTTGCATAGCAATCATTACTGATCAATACAAACTTGAAGCAGGTCGGCAACTATAAAAAATATATTGAAATGAAATGGGTATATATATTATCTGCTATGGAGGCTCCTTTTCATTTTTCAATTTCTATTGAGTTCTAGTACATGCTGTTTGCTGTTTCAATGTAATTCACTGGGGCATTTCTATCGCGACAAATGGGGCACTTTATTCTGTTACGCTGTTTTGCCGCGATATTTTCAGCAAACTCTTTGCTTTGCGGTATCAATTCGCGACTTTTGTGTCTACATATTAAGACATTGCTCTCTTGTTACAGATAATTGTACCTTACTAACGCAATAAGAAATAGTCAGTTTCAAGCTTTTATTAATTCCTGGTGAGAGTAGTTTTGATAATATATTTCTTTCCATTCTACTTCAATGGGCATCTTTTTATTTTCTCATAGACGAATTATTTCGGCTGTTGTACATTTAAGTTTTTTGTGATATTAGAATGTGTGCATGAACTAATGTTAAGTTCAACAAATTCAAGGCCATTAGTTATTTATAGCTTCAATGACTTTGAATGAGTTGACGAGCCAATCCTTTGATTTTATGAACTTCCTTCCTAGTCTTTACACGATTGAATAGAATTGAATTGCGGTTATGGTAACGCCCTTGTCACATCATGGCTATTCTCTATAGTCTATGACGCTATACCCTCGATTGTTCATCTTTATATTGTTACATGAGTACTGAGTAGATAATATTATACCATACAAAAGTCGAGGTGTTTCATATCTTGGGCTCAATATTTTTATGATAAATTAATAGAATTCACAATTTTTTCTAAGTTTTTCTACAATGTATCTATCATATCCTTGATTTGCTTTGTACATCTTCAACTCAATTGTACAAATGACTCAACTTGACTTCAAACGGTGTTAATTGGGTTCGGAAGATTTAAGTGGGCTTTTAAAAAATGCGTTGCCTAAACCCCGGAACGGTTTATTACCGTTTATTAGGTTATTTTATCACAGACAATTGTTAATTTCGCTTTCCTCGGTAGCGCCCAGTCTCATCGGCGGGTTGCATAATGTCTCAGAATGACGTTGACAGAAGTTATTTTTAAAGAAAATTTTTTTTACCCCCTCAATATTCACGGCCCAGTGATTTAGGGTTATTGCAGGTATTTGAGAGGTGCTATTATTAATAGAAAGAGAATCGGCATAATTGGAAAAATCTTTGTGGACCATTTTGACGGAATTTTTATACGTACTCCTAAGTCACAGTCTCGCGATTTTGGCTTATTTCAGACATCAGACACATTTCTCGACCCATTTAACGACCTTTTTACATTATCCAAACTTTACCTGGCGTTATCATCACAGGAAGCGCCGCTTCAAATATATGTATCGAAGGTCAAAGGTAGTATATATTGCTCTCATATTTCACCCAAAAATGTTTCCATCAATTGAAAAAAAACGGACAAATTTTTATTGCAATATCGGGTCTCACAAGAGATATAGCCTTGTAGACAATGACAACAATAAATCGATTATTCCATTATTTGCGGAGAGGTTTCGTTTACTCACTCCACAATTACTCCGCAATTTTATAACCACTTGATCTAATTAAATAAGCTTTGTTGCAACCAGGATCATGACCCAATGTACCTGACGATGTATAATATTACAGTAAATCTCATATAAAATATACTAAAAAACTCATTCAACCCTGTCTTTGAAGTCGGAAATTGAATAATGCTTTTTTAGAAACCCAAGACTGAAACGTTTCTACGGCTTCAACTGTAACAATTACTAATGAATACCGAAACCGTATTCAACCTCAGATAACAAGAAACACTGGTTTCACTATTTCAAATTATGATACATAGCCAAAGTGCTTAGGGCCTCTATAACGCATGATTCCGGCTCTGGTTGTAGTATTCGATAAAACATCCGTATATCCATCAATCCCGTTATTTCAATCGAGCTATGAAGTATCATGTCAAATGTTTCTGTATTTAGCAGTGAATGGAATAGTTCGGGAAGGAAGCTACTTCACACTTTAAATTTGTATATATTCACATATATATTTGGAGCTTCTGTCTCTTTGGAAAAAAATTCTTGTTTGCCACGATTACAAGCCCCAGTTCGTTTAAACATACTTTAGCATTACATCATTCATAATAACTAGGTAATTCTTGCTAGAATTACGGGATTTTCTAACTTCCCTTCTACACACCCTTGCATGGTATGCAAAGGTGAGATATATAGATTTATCGAAGCAAGGGGTAATATGTTCTGTAGTAATGAACCGGTACACATTTTCCCATTATTTATTGTTGTTTGTTACATTGCCATATATCTTCCCTGTGTTTTACCATAATCTTCAATTATTCCAACCCAAAATATTGTTTCAAATATATATTTTACATAGTTTAAACAAAATGGATCTTAGCAAAATATGTGCTAATTTAATGATATTTCCTATGTAGACTACGTCGGGTCTCAAATTAACTCTAGCATAATTTGCGTTGCACGAAATTCGAATAAGCACTCTTTTTTTATAATTTCGTCATTCTGTGTCTGATATAGGCATTGTCTGTCTATTCAACAATCCCATTACCTCATGTTTGTTGCTATCTAAAGATAACATCTATCTCCGGATTGGAAAGAATGGTATACTCTGTCTCAAGAAGTCCGTCCGCCTTATTAAAGTGTAAAACATTTGAAGGGTCGAAGTAAAGTGATTCGAACGTTTTTAAAGCATCTCTTAGAAAATATTTTAATGATATTGGTGATAAGTATGTACTACCAGAAGTTCGGATTATTCCCCTTTGGTGCCCTAAGCACTGAAGACTTTGGTGCCCCCTTATGTGTGATTTAATTATAAAAACAATAAACCACATAAGTGTAATATCCATTAAAAATAATCACAACCAACAGTTAATAAAACCACTTTTACGAACCATTTTAAACTTTTTAACTGTTATATATATCCGATATATATATATCGGCAAACACACAACATCGGGCCGATATAACGGTTGAGCTCTAATCCTGAATGTGTGTGACAATAACGATTCATGCTTCCAGTCTCAACGTGAATGAAAATACCAAAGAATACCAGCCACAACTGTAGTTTGCAATTTTACCGGTACCTATAGTAGTCTACCTCAGGGTGGTTCAAGGTCGCTAGGTTGAAGGACCACAAAAACTTTTGAGGCGGTCGAAAAAAAACCAAAAGTGATCGAAATATCGCGAGTT